ATGATTATAAGAAAATCAAGCTAAAGAAACCATCTTCATTCTTTTACATTGGATGTTTGTTTATTTCTCACATATTCATGTATATTTAATTTATTTTCAAAAGTATGTAATTTTTTAACAAAATAAACTTTTTGTTATATAATTATCAAACCAATTTGTAAGACATTATTTTAAGAATAATGATCCTTATATTTAGTTTGTGATTCAACATGTAATAATACAAAGAACATTATAATTTGATTTATGGTTTGGGTAGTTATATATGTTTATTTCTTGGGAATTTTTAAGGTTTCACTCTCTCCTTATTGGTCCATTTAGCATTTATTTTTAATTAAACCAAATATCTAACACATTTAGTCATATACTTTAATCCATACTTGAAATCCACACTTTACTATTAAATTGTAACTTAAACTAGGTTTTAACCCGCGGTACACCGCGGGACGATTGTTTTGACTAAAAATATATATATATATATATTTAAGTTATATTTGTTAATTTTATCATCTTTTTAGTGTTTAAAATTGTGTAACTGTATTTTTGATTGTTATTTTTATTACTTAACTCGCGGGATATTTTTTTATAACTCGTGGGACTAAAAAATTATGTTTAAGTTATATTTGTTATTTTTTTTGTTTTGTTAACCCGTAAGATAACCCGTAAGAAAATATAAAACTAAAACCCGTTAAATCATATTTATGTAAAATATAAACCTTGAATGTTTTATAGATTTCAAGAGAGATTTTGGTTTTTGTTTTCCAAAAACTCATTTTTAACCAATCAAGATTTTAAAATGTTGGATTCCCTAAAATTTAGTAATTTTTTTTTGTTGTAATCTTCCATTCAAGATTTTAGATTTTTAAGTTTTAGTCATATTTATAATGGTTCCGAACCATTGTCTAAAATTTTCTACCCGATGTGGGACGTTATACATATATGTTTTTTCTTTTATCGATTGAGTAATATACGTCCGTTTTCAAAAATTCAAATTGCTACATATGCGGAATTTTTTTTGTATTTTTATTATACTTATGTTTTATGTAATAATGTAAATTTTAAAACAAATAAGATCATATAAAGATATTGGAGAGATAATCAATTTATTAGGGAGACATTTTAGGAAATTTTGTTAAATGTAATAAATATTAGTTTCTAATTTTGCGATTTTGGTGTAATTTAATTACAAAATTAATCTTAAAAGTTTGTTATTTATTTTAATGGCAAGGATTTATTATGCAAATAATACAAAATAAAAGGTTATTTTCCAAAAGGTACTTCAAAAATGTTAATATAGATTATATAACCTTTCAATTGACTATTTGTTTCCTCCATTTAACTTCAATTAACACACTATAAAATATAATTATAACTCCTCTGATTTAATTATTTTAGAATTGTAACTTACATCATATTTTATCCTATAAATACTCATTTTTACATCCTCCTCCACCATATATGATATTCTCAATATTTTCTTTGTTTAATTTTTAATGTTCTTGCATGGGTTGAAAGCTAAATTAAGATATCATTGTAAGTGCTTGATTATATATTTGGTTAAAACTTTTGTTTTCAATTATATTTCTTCTTTATTTTATGTACTTCTTCATTTTTTCATTGTTTTTTATACTATTAAATGTATAATACATATGTATAATAATATTTTATGGCTATAAGGAAATGACTTTATCGATGGGATTCAAAAATATTGATTTCTGACCATCGCACCATAGGAAAATCAAGCTAAATAAACCATTTTCATTGTTTTACTTTATATGTTTTTTTCTTTCTCACATATTCATGTATATTCATTTTATTTTCAAAGTATGTAATTATTTTAACAAAATATGTTTTTGTTATATTCAAACCAATTTGTAAGACATTGAAATAAATAAAATTTTATACACAAATAAAGGTAATTTTTGTGTATATTTATAAGTTTACACACATATTTGGATTAATTTCAACATTTTAGTGGTTGAATAAATTCACACTTTATAAGGTTTATTGGTGGAAAATTATTTAAAATCATATATATAAAAGTAAGGTTTCACTCTCTTTATTGTTCTATTTTGTATTTATTTTTTAAAATATAATATTTATTTTTAATTAAACCAAAAAAACATATTTAATCATATATATTAATTCATACTTTAAATTCACACTTTACTACTAAAATGAAACTGAAAATTATATAAATTTCCAAAGACTATTGGTTTTCTTTATTGAATTCCAATTAAACACACTATGAATTTTAATTATAACTCCTCTAATTTAATTATTCTAAAAATGTAACTTACATCACTTCTTATCATATAAATAGCCATTCTCACATCCTTTTCTACCATATCTCATATCTTCATTATTCTCTTTGTTTTTTTTAAAGTTCTTGCATGGGGTGAAAACTCATTTAAAATATCATTGTAAGAGTTTGATTAATTATTTAGTTTAAACTTTTGTTTTCAATTTTATTTATTTTTGTTTTTATGTATTTCTTTATGTCTTCATTGTTTTTTATATTTTTAAATGTAATACATATATATAATAATATTTTATGGTTATAAGAAAATCAAGCTAAAGAAACCTCCTCATTATTTTACATTGGATGTTTGTTTCTTTCTCACATATTCATGTATATTTATTTTAATTTCAAAAGTATGTAATATTTTAACAAAATAAACTTTTTGTTATATAATTATCAAACCAATTTGTAAGACATTCTTTTAAGAATACTGATCCTTATATTTAGTTTGTGATTCAACATGTAATAATATAAACAACATTATAATTTTTGTTAACTTTGAATTTTATACTTGATTTCCTATATAAAAAACAATTTGATATTCAATTTTCTATCTATTATATATACTACAACGATGAAAAATATAATTAAACCTAGAGATATAGCTTAAATTAAGAGGAATATAAAAACAAATTAAAAATAAAATTATTCTTTGGGAATTTTTTAAGGTTACTCCTTATTGGTCCATTTAGCATTTATTTTTCAATTATAATATTTGTTTTTAACTAAACCAAATATCTAAGACATTTAGTCATATTGTCTATATTTATAAGTTTACACACATATATGGATAAATTTTAACACTTTTAGTGGTTCTTTTGATAAAGTTTGAAAAGGGGGTAAATTTAAAAAGTGGTATTTTTAAAAGGGTATTTTTTAAATTCTCCCAATATCATTCCTATTTTTATCATTAAAAATATTTTATCAAAAAATACTTAAAAGCACTAAAGAAAATTACTATCAAAATTGAACAATTAATCAACGAATAAATTCAAAAGATATGGATGTATGCTTCTATTGTATGATTTAAATAAATAACATGTAAAAATGTCATAAGCATTAAAATTTATTTAATCTATTTTTATAAGTAATAAATAAATTAAAATAATTAAATAAATATACAACAACCCGCGCATATGCGCGGGACATTACCTAGTATATCTAAACTGAAACCTATGGCAAGCCGGCGCCGCATGTAAACATATAAGTCTCGGAACGTGAGAGAGTTTTCGGGAGAGCAACTATACTCTTATAAATAACATAAATATATTTTCCAAAAACTCTCTACGGAATTGGTATGTAGATAAGGTTTAGACTCAAGTTTTTCGGCTTATTGCAATTTTCAACATCTGTTAAAAGCATATTGCTAAAGTTCGACAAGTGCAAACAGTGCCAATAACAGATGGCGCAGAGTTAATTGCGTCTAGCGAGCAGCCATTGCTTAGTACTGATATTCATTCAAAACATGGTCGCGACTTTGGGACATATGTAATGTTATAGGGCCATACGGTACGGTAATACATTTATGAGATATTTGATTACTTTTCTGAATTGACCTCAATCTGAAAATTCAAAGGTAACTAACTCTAGTTACAATTTACGCAGAGAGGAATAATTCACAAAACATTTAACAGTATAAAACAATAATATCAATTTCTTACATTTTTTAACAATCAAATAGTTTAAAATAAAAATAAAAACTATTTAACAATCAAAACACGGTGACAAAAAAAAAACAAATTGAGGAATGAGTATCATACGGTGTGTGGTACACAGTACAAATCCAACATCAGATATTAGCTTGAGAAATTTTAATATGGGTGCGGGATATATATGCCATGCTGGTTCATAATCATAACCCATCTAATATATATTAGATGGGTTATGATTATGAACCAGCATGGCATATATATCCCGCACCCATATTACAGTTCTGTTTATATAAACCTACTTACATGGAAGTTCTTTAATTATAACAACATAACAAGTTGCTAGCATGAAGATTCTATCAGTCTCATTACTAATAACACCACCTCTTTTCTGAAGTTTTATAATAAAACTTTTATTAGTTAGCTAAATAGCTTATTGTTAAATTGGTGGATATACTCTTAACTGTAAGCAATTATTTTGTTTTCTTTAGGTAATAGGCTAATAGCAATTAATTTAATTTTATGGAAAGTGATCCTTGTTCAGATTTTATATCGGATATCTAATTTTTGTGTGCGCCTTGTGTTGCAGTCTTGCTAACAAATATGGACGAGAAGAAACAGTAGTAGGACGTCGTACATAATTATAAAAGCTTAATTATGATCTTATTATAACAAACCAACAACATAAAGATGTCTGGTACATGTGTAAGACCACTCATAGAGTGTTACTTACTTATTTTAAATTATAGAAATACACACGCTCAAGTACTAAACAGTTTTTTTGCAGATTAACATGGGAAGTAACAGATACACCTATGATATGGGAAGACATAGTTGCAAGAACCATGTCGCGCTTTCTCAAGATTAATGCATTGGTTCTTGCATTGGTTATTGTTTCCACAGACTCCAGACCACGTCCCACTTGGCCTCTGGCACAGCTTCTGCGCTTCCACCATCGTTGGTGCTTCTGCATGGATGCATGGATTTGTCTCTCAAAGTTAGTTATCAAAATAAATACAAGAAAAATATGAAAAACTCGCATGCATATGATAAGACCATATTAATTACTCACCGAGAGCAGCAAAGAAGACGAGAGCAGCGAAGAAAAGGGTCACGATAGTAGCAGACTTAGCCATGACTGTTGTTTGCTTAGATTTGTTTTTTTTTTTGCAATGTATAATGTGTTTTTAGTTTGAAGAAATAAGCTTGAGATCAACCTCTATTTATAGTGAAAAAGATGATGGGAAGGTCGATTTTCTCTAGCTACGTGTACATATATCGGACGATTAGTGTTATTCACCCCATAGAGACTTAAAAAACACATACAGTCGTTGGAAAATATTAACACGTAAGTAACTAATGATATGTAATATCTTGAGTCGACCTTGACCTATTCATAAACAGTGTGCTGATTAAATGGCTAGTTTCTTGTGGCACATTTGTTCATTTGAAGTTTGATTCGGTGGCTATTACATTATCTGTTTCACGTTGGTTGGCTTATTTTGACTTGGTCAAAAGTTCAAATATCTTCAGCAAATTCTAGCAAGTACGTTTACACAAGTGGTAGTGATAAGTCATGACCACATCGCATTTAATTTGTATTACACCATGAAGTTGGATATTCTCTATGGACTTTTCTTCTCCATTCATTGAAACCCCCAAGGACTGTCACTAGCTGACAACTTATAAATAATGTTGTTTCTCTTTCACTTGTTTTTTTTTTTTTGTTATTATTAATGTTTTGAATTGAGTGTAAAATTTTATTCACTCAAAAACTATGGGTATAAAGAATGCTTCAGTTATTATTTTTTTTTATTTTTTTGGTATTGATCTCATATTAATCAGCAAACTAGCTAATTTGCTAGAGGGTGTGGACTAACAAATTTGTAAAGCACACACATAGATATATTGTATGTGTAATTTCGTAGTTCCCACCTCACACATATAACTTCTTGGATTAGCTTTGCCAAATCCGAATAACCGAGAAGCAAAATCTTATTTCAATTTTTGTTTTTTGTTTTATTTTCAATGTAAAATCTAAAAAAACTAATCGAAAGAAAAATCGTTTTCGTTCTCGACTTCATAGTCGTCATCCGCAAACTTTGACAAAGAACCTGTCTCCTCTATAAACATTTTCTCTGTCAACTGCTGACACGTGCCGACAGCTTGCATTCTTGCCCTACTAAGAGAGCCCCAGCAGTCCAGCACTAGCCACGGACAAGTTGGAATCGAAAGGCAAGTTTGTAATTAGATCATTAGGAATCGAATGGTAAGGTTTTTATGATAGATTAAAATTACTAAATTAGATAGAATATAAATTAAATGTTCTGAGATTACGAATAAGTACTTACATTTTTCCTATAACGTGAACGTTATGGGCTACTAGACTACCATACTAGCCAGGGAATTACGATTTTGGCTACAAAAATTTGACTTTTTAATATGTGGATTTGGGAAAGAGCATGTGGAGATGAAGAGGAACCATGATGCATTAGCGACACTGGTGTAGGCTATGCGTAAAGCTCGTCATGTTGGCCATTACTTCCTCTTGAGATATCTTATATGTATCATTTTTGTTTTTATTCGAAACTTTGTATATTTTCTTGCTTCACCTCAAACATGCGCACCTTTTATGCAAATTATTTTTGTTATCATAAGACATATTTTTTTTAAATGATTTGGTGCTACAAAATAGTATCCGGATCTTAATTTCTTTTTTATAACCGTAATTCAACTCTTAAATTTGGTAGTCCGATCAAATTAGTAAATTGAGGGTTTTTCTCTGGTGAATTTGAGCGTGACCTTCCTGTTTAAACTTTTATTTTGACATATTTTATGTTCATTTAATTGGAAAATTTTCGTATATAATTTTGTCGGGGGATCACTACACAATAGTTTAAATGTATATATTACTTACACAATAGTACTTTAAATTTATATATCTATATATCATAATAACAACAAAGTCCAACCAAACATTAAAACATAAACATGCATGTCATAAAAGTCACTCATAGAGTAACACAGACTTATTTTATGTAAAATACACACGTGATTAACCACCAAAGATGTTTGGTTGATTAACATGGGAAGTAACAGATACATCTGTGGTATGGGAATCGATAGTTGCAAGATCCATGGTGTGCTCTTTCAAGGTTAATGCACTGATTCCTGCAAGCGCCGTTGTTTCCACAGACTCCGGACCAAGTCCCACTTGACCTCTCGCAAAACTTCTGTGCTTCCACCATTGCTGGTGCTTCTGCAGATTCATGTATATACTTATCATGGTTAGTTATCAAAATAAATGAAAATAACATTTAAAACACTATTTTGCATATATGATAAGATCATTACTAACCAAAGGCAGCAAAGAGAACAAGAGCAGCGAAGATAAGGGTGATGATGGAAGCAAACTTAGCCATGATGATTTTTACTACTTTGTTTTAGATGTATGTATGTATGTATGTATTGTGTGATGAAATAAGCTTAAGACCAGCCTCTATTTATAATGAAATAGTGGTGAGTTAGTCTGCTATTTTTGCATCGTATTATTACGGATCGTAACCCCACAAATTAATCACGCAGTGTCTTCTAGCTAGTATAGCTAGTTGATATTAATAAGATCGTGGCTTATTCATATTTGATGGCTGGTTTCTCCACCACATATTTTCTTTGATAATATCTAAACTGAATGCACTGGATTTGAGTTAATGCTACATATTCATTGTTCACTTTGGCAGCGCTGGTCAATCTGATTTGGTCACCACTCAAGAAAATAAGATTTTAAAATTTTAACCAAACCGAGTTACACAAGTAGTTATGATTTGTCAGAAATTTTCAGACCGTTCGTTACATGAGCATAGAACTAGGAGTAAACGGGACCAATGATACTATAATTGGTCATTTGCTTGAATAGCAAGAAAATATCCTCACTTCAATAATAAGATGTCATTGTCGCCTGTTTATCTTATGAAGAATCGTCTGATGAGCGAGTTAAGAAAAAACCGAAATCTTCTCAAATCCGTCTTCCAGTACACCCCCTAAGTTTCTTAAGAAGTGTATTCGTTCATTAGACCGCATAACTTAAAATCCTAATCAATTTCAACTATATCTCATTTCAAAACAAAGTTAATTAATGGTTCTTCTTAATCGACCTGATGGTGCTGGAAATGGTTGTCTCAACCCTTGGTGAATCTATGTCCACAGTTAGAGAAAGTGTCCTAATTTGTAGTCTGTACTTTGTCGAATAAATACCTTTAATTTGCCAAAAGCATCGGATAAACAAATACATAGGCTAACTGCTCTCTATATTGTGGGTAGTTCTTATTATGGACAATACATGCAAACAAATATAGATAAGAAGATAAAACAGTAGTAAAATACAACTAAAACAATTTTTAGATTTATGCGTTCTCATTACCGCTTGGTTTTAAAGTTTTAGATTTATGCCCGAACGAGTGTACTTCAGTTTTGTCGGAGGATACATTTGGGGTTGAACTTAATAAAGAGTAGGAGACCTTTGTCTCCTATCTATTACCAAAAAAAAAAAAATACAATTAAAACAAGCCAACATAAACATAATAAATACATGTAATATATACACTCCTTCATTGAGTGACAATACTTATTAGCTTTATGAAAATACATTATTGTTTATTTTATTTCTTAATGCACTTATTTTTGTTGCATTGTTGTTTATATGACTGTTCAACTTGGCTTCTCTCGCACAACTTCACAACTTGTGTGCTTCAAACATTGTTGGTGTTTTCTGCTTATAGATAATTATAGTCAATTACGCGATTAAAATTAAAATTTAAACCAAAACAACTTTAATTTGACCCGAAATCTAGATCAAGACTTGAAATCGAAACCTTTTGTTTGAAACACAAGCTTTTAAGTTCAAAATCATTTTTTTTTACCGAAATTTAACACATAAATACTATTTCATTCTTGCAACGCGAATATAGTAAATCGGGCAAAATCTATTGACTTATAACTCTATTAATCATTTGACATGAACTTCCTACAAAAACTTGTAGATAAAAGTTTTTAACATATTATAAATCGATCATGCATGAAATTGGACAATTCATAGTTTCGTGGATCATTTTCATTTACCCACAAGTTTTTTCTTATATCACAAACTAGGAATCGAGTCGGATTACATATATATATTTCATTACTGAATACACCACTACGTTTCTTATTCTCAACTTGAAACTCGTGATGCTGTTAGGGTACCTCTAGGAGAAGTAATTAGTCCTTTTGAAAACAATGACCGCGCGTGTGAAGACAAATTAAACCAAGAAGAAATATTTTATATTATTATAACAACAAAGTCACACCAAACATTAAAACATAAACATGCATGTCATAAAAGTCACTCATAGAGTAACCGAGACTTATTTTATGTAAAATACACACACGTTTAACAACCAAAGATGTTTGGTTGATTAACATGGGAAATAACAGATACATCTGTGGTATGGGAATCGATAGTTGCAAGATCCATGGTGTGCTCTTTCAAGGTTAATGCACTGATTCCTGCAAGCGCCGTTGTTTCCACAGACTCCGGACCAAGTCCCACTTGACCTCTCGCAAAACTTCTGTGCTTCCACCATTGCTGGTGCTTCTGCAGATTCATGTATATACTTATCATGGTTAGTTATCAAAATAAATGAAAATAACATTTAAAACACTATTTTGCATATATGATAAGATCATTACTAACCAAAAGCAGCAAAGAGAACAAGAGCAGCGAAGATAAGGGTGATGATGGAAGCAGACTTAGCCATGATGATTTTTACTACTTTGTTTTCGATGTATATATGTATTGTGCTGTGTGATAAAATAAGCTTAAGATCAGCCTCTATTTATAATGAAATAGTGGTGAGTTAGTCTTCTATTTTTGCATCGTATAATTACGGATCGCAACCCCACAAATTAATCTCGCAGTGTCTTCTAGTATAGCTAGTTGTAGTAATAAGATCTTGACTTATTCATAATTGATGGCTGGTTTCTCCACCACATATCTTTCTCTGATAATATCTAAACTGGTTGCTTTGGATTTGAGTTAATGCTACATATTCATTGTTCAGTTTGGTAGCGCTGGTTAATCTGATTTGGTCACCACTCAAGAAAATAAGATTTTACATTTTTTAACCAAGCCGAGTTACACAAGTAGTTATGATTTGTCGGAAATTTTTGCAGACCGTTCGTTACATGAGCATAGAGCTAGGAGAAAATGGGATCAATGATACAATAATTGGTCATTTGCTTGAATCGCAAGAAATATCCTCAATCCAATAATAGTATGTCATTGTCACCGGTTTATAATATGGGGAATCTTCTGAGCTGGTTAAGAAAAACCCAAAATCTTCTTAAATCCGTCTTCCAATACCCCTTCCCACCCCCTAACTTCCTAAGAAGTGATTAATTGTATAACATTATTAGTTCATTTAACCGCATAACTTAAAAAATCTTAATCAACTTCAACTATGGCAGCTGGTCATTTCAAAACAAAGTTAATTAATTGTTCTTCTTAATCGACCTGATGATGCTGGAAATGGTTGTCTCAGGCCTCGGTGAATCTCTGTCCACAGTTAGGGAAAGTGCACTAATCAGAAAAACAAATATGGATAAGGAAACAGTAGTATGTAGTAAAATCCAATTAAAACAAGCCAACATAAACATAATGGATACATGTAATACGCTCATTCATTGAGTGACAGACACATGTAGATTTTTGAGCAGAACATATGACTTATTAGTTTATGGAAAATTGGAAATACAGACACATGACCATATAGATAACTTAATATGGGAAGTAGCAGATCATTTGTGAGCTGGGGACATAGTTGCAACTTGCAAGTTCCATGGAGGGCCCGGCTCAAGTTTTTCTTGGACCTTGTGCCAAAAAAATTTCTTCTTTTAGTTAGGGTTTTATTTGCAAATTTCAGAAATTTGAGGCCCTTGTATGTAAAAATATCAAAAATTGAGGGTCCTAAAACCTTTAAAAAATTACCAAAACTGAAGAGTCCCGGTGCTCCCGCACCCCCTTTACGCCGGGCCTAGTCTTCCATGTTGTACGTTTTCAAGGCTATAATGCACTTATTTTTGTTGCATTATTGTTTCTATGACTGTCCAACTCGCACAACGTAACTTCACAACTTGTGTACGTTCTTCCACCATTGTTGGTGTTTCTGCTAATAAATATATAAGTCAAGTTTTAAATAAAATTAAACTCAACCAAGATTGTAACTGTAACCGATCCCAAACATAAATTTAAATTATTAATTGGACACAAGATCTAGATCAAGACCTGAAAGCGAAACCTTTTGTTTGAAACAAAAGCTTCTAAGTTCAAAATCATTTTTTGTTTATCGTAATTTTTACTCGTAAGTAATATTTCATTTCTGCAACGTGAATTTGGTAGACCAATATAATTGGGATTTAACGTGAACTTCCTAGCTACAATATATTTTAATTCGGTCATGTAATTGGACAATTCATAGTTTGTCGTGGATCATTTTCATTTACACACAAGTTTTTTTTTTTTTTCAATACAAGGGGTCGAGTTGGATTACATGTATATTTCATTACTGACCGTGTTGAAGACAAATTAAACAAGAAGAAAAATATTATATTATCATAACAACAAAGTCACACCACCGAACATTAAAACAGAAAGATGCATGTCATACTCATAAGAGTCACTCGTAAAGTGACGTAGACTTATTTTATGTAAAATGCACACACGTTTAACCACCGAAGATGTTTGGTTGATTAACATGGGAAGTAACAGATACATCTGTGGTATGGGAATCGATAATTGCAAGATCCATGTTTTGCTCCCTCAAGGTTAATGCACTGATTCTTGCAAGCGTTGTTGTTTCCGCAGACTCCGGACCAAGTCCCACTTGACCTCTCGCACAACTTCTGTGCGTTTACCATTGCCGGTGCTTCTACAGATGCATCATGCATGCATATATTTCTCATGGTTAGTTATCCAAATAAATGAAAATAACATTTAAACACACATTTTCATTGATATGATAAGATGATTACTCACCAAAAGCAGCAAAGAGAACAAGAGCAGCGAAGAGAAGGGTGATAATGGAAGCAAACTTAGCCATGTTGATTTTTACTATCTTGTTTTCAATGTATGTGTATGTATGTGTTGTGTGATGAAATAAGCTAAAGATCAACTTCTATTTATAGTGAAACGATGGTGAGTTAATTAGTCGATCTATTTGGGCATCGTATAATCACGTTTCGTAACCCCACAAATTAAACACTAAGTGTCTTCTAGCAGCTGATTGGTATTAGCATGATAAAAACTTGACTTTTTCATAGTTGATGGCTGGTTATTCTCCACCACATATTTTTCTCTAATAATAATATCTTGGTGGCTGCTTTGGTTTTGAGCTAATCATACATCGTTTACATAGGCGGCTGCTTAATCTGATGTGGTCAAGACTCAAGAAAATAAGATCGTAATATAACCAAGCGGTAGTTAATTTACACGATTATTTTGATGTGTCAGATATTTTCACAGTTTTTTTTTTTCCTTTAACAGAAATGTGAATTTTCATTAGATGAAAAAGTTTGTAAAAGTTACAAAAGATTAATTGTTTCCTGCCAAAAAAAAAAGAGGTGATGTTGAGTCTTTAAAGTCTAACCAAGCTGAGAACGCACTCCAAGTGTGGAAAATAAACGAGTTGTATCCAAATCTTTGTTGGTGGTTTTGACAAGAGGCCATCGCTAACTTCACAATGAAGGGAACATATGGTCTCAACTCTCAAGTTTCAGGGAACAAACCACAAAGGCAGCAACTAGTTTGCTCAATTTGCAGTCCCAGACTTTTGAGCCTTGTTTTAGTGGGAAGCCGATAATTAGATGTGTAAACCATATCATAAATGCATGTTTTGGAACTGCTCCTTTGAACCAAAAGTGTATATCAAGATATGTTTTGGTTGATCTCTAGAGTAACATCGTTTTGCCAAGTTTGCAGAACAAAAGAAACTCTTCTCGCTAGATTTTTCGCAAGTTAAAACACACCAGGAAACACCTTTAACCGTAAATTATGTGATCCATTACGCTGCTCTCGCCGGCGGTAGTTTTTCTAACTATCAGAAGAAGGTAACGGTGAATTTCATACAAAATTGGTGAATATAGAGCTTAAGGTATGATTCGTAAATTCGTTAACAAAGAAATTGGCAAAATAACTGAAAATACCAACTAACTAAGAAAAAAGTTTATAAAGTAATTACGAAATTAGATTATATAAGCGATCAAATTTTGTTTTTGAACTAAAAATAATGATTGAATTCTTTTAAATTGAGGAAAATCGTATTTTTTTTTGTATGGTTTCGAACTATTCTTAGATTAGATTACATTTAGAGAGTTTAAGGTTCATGTTTTTAATTTTGAATTCAAGGTACGTAAGCAAGATGCTATATATATATTGTGCGTTATTTTGATGAACAAGTTAGTCCAAATACAGACAAAAAAACAAAAAAATTGAATACGTAAAAACAGCAGTACGTAGTAAAAGAAGGAAGTAAAAGGAAAAGCTCGTCCCGTTTTCTATAGCGTTACCGACACCTCCGCTTAAGAGTATAATTTTGTTTATATATTCAGATGTTCTTATTTGTAACACCCCCAATCATTTTTTTCTTCTATTCATTATTGCTATTATTGTTTACTATACAATATCAGAAACTACGTACGACAAAAAAATAAAATAAAAATCAACAATCTCAATTAATTAACATTTCACTACTCGACAATTCATGAATTTGGTAGTCTGATTAAACTATTAAATTGGGGTTTTCACTTGGCTATAGTGAAATAAAGTGAACGTCCTAGAATAGAAGTTTTATTTTGTTTTATCAATGGGAATTTCTTTTTTTCTTGACACATCCTAATTCGGTCAGGTAACGGTCGGTCGTGTGTTTTTTTTTTAAAATTCTGTTCTTTATGTTTTCGATACATGAAAATTAGTGGTCCTGTTGGGTGTCAGCTGCTGTAATCAAATTAATACTGGTCTAATACGAACAAGAAGAAACAGAGTCTTAATTATAACGTCGTACATAAATTGTAACAACAAAGTCCAACCAAACATTAAAACATAAACATGCATGTCATAAAGTTACTCATAGAGAGTAACACAGACTTATTTTATGTAAAATACACACACGTTTAGCCACCAAAGATTTTTGGTTGATTAACATGGGAAGTAACAGATACATCTGTGGTATGGGAATCGATAGTTGCAAGATCCATGTTTTGCTCCCTCAAGGTTAATGCACTGATTCTTGCATGCGTTATTGTTTCCACAGACTCCGGACCAAGTCCCACTTGACCTCTCGCACAACTTCTGTGCTTCCACCATCGATGGTGCTTCTGCATATACGTGTATATATTTCTCATGGTTAGTTATCAAAATAACATTTAAAACATTATTTCCATAATTCCATTAAAAAAAAAAGATGATTACTCACCAAAAGCAGCAAAGAGAACAAGAGCAGCGAAGATAAGGGGGATGATGGAAGCAAACTTAGCCATGATGATTATTAAACTGTGTTGTTTTCAATGTATGTATGTATTGATGTGTTGTGTGATGAACTAATTAAGCTTAAGATCAGAGTCTATTTATAATGAAATGATGGTGAGTTAGTCGTATATGTGTGCATCCTATAACTACAGATCGTAACCCCACAAATTAAACACTAAGCGTCTTCTAGTGCTAATATTAACAGATAAGAACTTGACTTATTCATAGTTGATGGCTGCTGGTTATTCTCCACCACATATTTTTTCTGATAATATCTAAGTAGGCTGCTTTGGCTTTGAGCAAATGATTTATACATAGGCGGCATAATCTGATGTGGTCAAGACTCAAGAAAATAAGATGTTAACCAAGCGGTAGTTACAAGAGTACTTTGATATATGTCATGTCAGATATTTTGACAGTTAGGCAAGTGTATATGTATCAACATATTGTTTGGTTGATCTCAAGAGTACGTAGCATCGTTCCGCCAAGTTAATTTGCAGAACAAAGAAACCGTTCTTATTAGTTTTTTTGCCATTAGATTTCACCGGGAGACACCTTTAACCGTAAATTATGTGATTCATCAGTGCGTTGCTCTCATCGGCGGTAGATTTTCTAACTATCATCATAACGGTGAATTTCATCAAAAATTAGAGGATATAGAGCTTAAGGTATAATCTGTAAATTCGTTACAAAGGAAAATAAAAGCACAAAGGAATTACGGAAATATTATAAGCGATCCATTTTTTAAAATTCAGAAAATACATCTTTTTGTTGTATTTAGAACTCTTTTTTAGATTAGATGTAACTTTCTTAGAGTTTAGGATTCATGTTTTTAGTTTTGAATTCAGGGTACCTAAGCAAAATGCTATATATTGTGCGTTACGTTAGTTTGATATGCACAAGTTAGTCCAAATACAAACAAATATGAATACCAAAAAATAAAAGAAGTAAGTAAAAGAACGATATATGGCTGCTGTATGTAAAAGCTCGTCCAGTATTCTCTATAGCAATTTAGACACCTCCGTTTGAGTCTGAGTATAATTTTGTTTATATGTTCTTAATTGCTTCACCCATTTTTTTTAACAATATAAAACAAAAAATTGAAAAGAGATATGAGAACCACTTCTCAAATGAGACTTTTCGAGAGATCATGTGATCGGTTTTAATCTTTTCTTGTTATTTAAAATTTAAATAAATAGTAAAAAGTAAATTATATATCTATTAAAATAATATAACTGAGAGACTATGAAAATCTCTACCCAATATTAGAAACTACAATAAAATATAATTTTAAAAAAATAAGGGTGTGTTGGAGAAGTATTACATTTTTAAAAAATAATTATAAAACTAGTACAAACACTATTTACAATTAGGAAACTAGTACATTATCACTATTTGCTACTATTTTATGGACATTTAAACACTCAGAAAACATAGTATTTACGAGTCTGCCATTAAAATAATTATATAATATAATTCGTACATCATATTTATTGTACATACGTACAAAATTATGTTTTTGTACAATAATAATATTATTACACAATATCATCCGTACAGCATATTAGTGTACAAATATATATAAATATGCATATTTTGGTATACTATACTAGCTGTACGGATAAAAATGAGTAATTTTTACATATATTCGTACACTTAATAAGTTGTACGGATATGTTTGTACATATTTATGTATGGATATTTTTGTACATACGTCTGTACACATACTATTGTAAAAAAAACATTTGTACATATGCTAAACTATACAAATAAATATTTATATATAAAAAAATTTAAAATTTATTAGCAAAAGGCATATCAAATTATAGAGAAAAAAACATTTTTATGTGTTAAAAATATTATTGATATTATTTTTACAAAAATTAGTATGTTAGTTATAAAAATTTTGGGGTGATAAAAGTAAGAGAAAAAAAGAAAAAAAAAAGAAAAAAAAAAACAAAATCCAGAGAAAAAAAATTGCCCCTCATGTCATTTTATTTTCTCTCGTTTTTCCTATCTCATGTTTTCTTCTATCTCATATTGTGGGTCCATATGACTATTTTTATAATTATAAATAATATATGTACTATTTTCCCAATTATTTTTTGAAAATGTACTATAATTCTTATTAATCCAAAAAATAATGGATGTCTAACTCTTGCCACGTACCGTCATAAAACCCTCTCTATTAATTGTCTGATCAAACTATTAAATTGGGGTTTTGACGTGGCTATGGTGATATAACGTGAACGTCCTAGAATATAAATTTTTTTCTATGAATGATGATTTTTTTTTTCTTTTGACATATTCTTATTCGGTCTTTAACGGTCGTGTGTCTTTTTTTTTCTTTATGTTCTTTAGTTTTATGACTTCGATTTCGATACATAAAAATGAGTGGTCCTGTTGGGTGACGGCTGCTGCTGACAAATACGAACAAGAAAATATAGTCTTAAAAAGGTCGTACATAAATTATAACAACAAAGTCCAACCAAACAAGAAACTGCATGCAGTCTTAGGTGGTACATGAATTATAACAACAAAGTCCAACCAAACATTAAAACATAAACATGCATGTCATAAAGTTACTCATAGAGTAACACAGACTTATTTTATGTAAAATACACACGTGATTAACCACCAAAGATGTTTGGTTGATTAACATGGGAAGTAACAGATACATCTGTGGTATGGGAATCGATAGTTGCAAGATCCATGTTTTGCTCCCTCAAGGTTAATGCACTGATTCTTGCATGCGTTATTGTTTCCACAAACTCCGGACCATGTCCCACTTGACCTCTCGCACAACTTCTGTGCTTCCACCATCGATGGTGCTTCTGCATATGTATACATATCTCATGGTTAACTATCAAAATAAATGAAACAAGATTTATAACACTATTTCATATATGATAAGATGATTACTCACCAAAAGCAGCAAAGAGAACAAGAGCAGCGAAAACAAGGGTGATGATGGAAGCAAACTTAGCCATGATGATTGGTACTACTTTGTTTTCGATGTATGTATGTATTGTGTTGTGTGTAGAAATAAAGTTTAGAACAGCCTCTATTTATAGGGAAGTGAAGGTGGATTAGTCTTCTATTTGTGCATCTTATAATCACGGATCGTAACCCCACAAATTAATCACTAAGTGTCTGCTAGTAGCTGACTAACTGATAAGATCTTGACTTATTCATAGTTGAAGGCTGGTTTCTCCACCACATATATTTCTCTGATAATATCTAAGTGGCTGTTTTGGCTTTGAGCTAATATATATGATACATCATCTACATAGGCGGCTGCTAATCTGATGTGCTCAAGAAAATAAGATCTTAACCGAGCCGTAGTTACACGAGTATTTTGATAAGTCAGATATTTTCACAGTTAGGGTAACTGTCTATTGATATGGTAAAAGGCTGATCTCAAGGGCAGCATCATTACGCCAAGCTTGCAGAACAAGAAACCGTTCTCACCAGATTTTTGCCATTAGAATTCACCTGGAAACACATATAACCCGTAAACTAGATGATTCTCCAATGGTTCTCTACTAACAGAAGGAGACGATCGGCGTCGGAGAAGGCAGGGTCTGGGAAATTAGCTTAGTCGGGTATGGATAAACAAAACAAAATATTCTTTATTTAGTCATGGCCTTGAACGTAATGCATGGGAATATACGTACGTACTGAAAAAGCGAAACGGGAATCAAATACCTAAACCACCTTTAATTGCTCGTCGTAATGGTAATCATAAATAAATTACCGAAAGATGATAAGAGATCAAGATTTTTAAAATTTTAAAAATATAGTCTAATCTTTTAAATTCAGGAAATGCATACATTGCAGGGTTTAGAACCTTTTTTTGTTTGGGTTAGATATAATTTTTAGAGTTTTGGATTTAGTTTTTAAAATCCATGATTTTAAATTTTAAATTGAATAGGGTACATAAGCAAAATGCTATATATTGTGTTTGATTATTTGTTCCTGTTTCACCCCAAACATGTATTTTTTCCATTCATTATTGCTATTAGTTATTGTTTTAAGGAAAAAATATTGGAACTTCTTTTACCGTCATTCAACGATCTCAATTAATTATCATTTCATTACTCCACCATGCATCAATTTGGTTGTCTCATCTAATGGTGATTTCTTTCTTTTTTTGACATATTCTAATTCGGTCATATTAATGGTCGTGTGTACTTTTATTCTTTATGTTTTTGAAAAATAAAAAAAATCAGTCGTTCTGTTGGTTGTTGTAGACAAATATTAACAAGAAAGAAACAGTCGTACATAAATTATATTTATATCATTATAACAACAAAGTCAAACCAAACCAAACATTAAAACATAAACACATGTATATGTCATCAAGTCACTCTTAAGTGACACAGACTTATTTTATATATGTAAAATACACACGTTTAAGCACCACGGACTTTTTGGTTGATATGATTAACATGGGAAGTAACAGATACATCTGTGGTATGGGAATCGATAATTGCAAGATCCATGTTTTGCTCCCTCAAGGTTAATGCACTGATTCTTGCAAGCGTTGTTGTTTCCGCAGACTCCGGACCAAGTCCCACTTGACCTCTCGCACAACTTCTGTGCTTCCACCATTGCCGGTGCTTCTACAGATGCATGTATTTATTTCTCATGGTTAGTTATCGAAATATATGAAAATATCATCTAAAAACACATTTTTCATTGATATGATAAGATGATTAATTACTCACCAAAAGCAGCAAAGAGCACAAGAGCAGCGAAGATAAGGGTGATGATGGAAGCAAACTTAGCCATGATGATTATTAGTATTTTTTTTTCCAATGTATGTATGTTTGTATGTGTTGTGTGATGAAAAAAGCTTAAGAGCAACTTCTATTTATAGTGAAATATATGATGGTGAGCTAGTCTTCGACTTGTACCTTCGATAGTCTGGTGGTAACCCTACAAATTAAACACATGTATCTTCAAGTAGCGAATATCAACCAAAGATAACATTCTGGTCTATTCATAGTTGACGGCTGGTTTCTCCACCACAGATCTTTCCCCATGGAAGGCTTGCTTCTCTATCTATGTAGCTTAAGTGACGACTGCTTTGGCTTTGAGTCAAGTGTCACATCGTTCACATGGGCGGCTACTTAAATTGACTCGGTCAAGAAGTAGTTTAAACGGTTCAATTAATGTTTGAAAAAATGAACCATGATGCATTTAGCGACACTGATGCGGACCATTTGTAAAGCTCGTTCCATTGTCCATAAACAGTTTTGACATTTCCATTTTTTAGTGGTAAATCTATTGTTTTTCAATTTTATTTTCAAACTTCTATATGTTATTGCTTCATACTCAGCAAGTCAGCATCCCTTTTCCTTTGTTTTTATTTTTCTTATATGACAGGCAGGCAGGCACACCAAAACAGAAAAATGATTTCTAACATAATATCTTACAATTATGAAAAAAAAATCTAGGGACAAAAAAATTAGTGTTCGTGTATATATAATTATAAAGATAATTGTTACAGAATTTTTTTAATTATCGACGTTCAGAAGAGTTGAAGAAGATGGTATAAATTGGATTTTGTTTTTAAAATGGATATGAATGTTCTTGTTCTTTGTTTTTAATTAGAAGGCTCATTGCAAAGGTAATAGAGCTAAAAGAGGGTACTTTATTTCTTGATTGGGCATTTTCTTGATTCGCAAGGAAAAAACATGAGTATGAACAACAATTCTTACGGAGAAGGTTCTTATTCTTATCCCAGTGTAGGAATGGAGAAGGACAAAACTTCTAAAACTCATGTTCATATATACTCATGTGTTATTGCTCATAATTAAGAATGAAGAAGTTCACAGTCCTTATAACACATACAGTTAAGTTAAGCACCAAAGAGTTTTGGTACATTAACATGGGAAGAAACAGAGAAACTTGTTAATTGGGAAGGCAGCGTTGCAAGATCTATGTCTTGCTCCCTCAACTATACATTTATCCTTGCAGTTTAAACAATTTCTTGACCATTCCCCACTTGGCTTCTGGCACAAATTCTGCGCTTCAAATGTTGGAAACAGAGTTCTGATACCAAACTGTTGTTAGAACATATGTGAAAACAGATCGCGAGATGTTGAATAGAAAACAGAACACTTTTGCTAAATGATATTTTACTCTGATTAAGTTTGATATCTCTGTTATTTTCTCATAATGAGATTATAATAATTATATAGACAAGCTACAAATGTAACCGAGACCCATTAATTCCATGGACTCATTATGTCCTATAATTACCACAGAAATAGGAAATCCTTAAATTGATTAGAAAATAAAAACTGATTAAATAGTTTAAAACACCCCCACTTATTGGAAGCTTTGAATCCCTTTTCAACATCCACCATCTTCAGTTCTTCTGCATACGTAACTCAAGATAACTCAAGATAACTCAATATTGAGTGTTGTCAAATAAATTCTAAGAACCATGATGACTAATTGAGTATACAGTATTTACTTTGTTTCAACGTATATGTGTGTAGCCTGATGAAGAAAGCCTAAGATCAAGCTATAATTGTAATGCAATGGTGGGGAGCTAGAATTTTATTTGTCCCCACAAATTAAACACGTACAGGGTCTTCTAGCTAGTAGTAGACAATACATAATAGAAAGATAAGATGCTGAACACAGTCGACGATGGATGGCTGGTTTTTCAACCACATATTAAAAGACTATCTCTCTATCAAATTAATGTAGTCTAAGAAACTGGTTAATCTGACTGGGTCAAGAATCTCAAGACGACTAAATGGTTCAAAGCTTCAAATCAGAGTTTGAAAGCACCACCATTTCTTTGTTTCTTACTTTTTTTTACTTAGTCGAATCTCCAAGTAAACCGTAAATTGGAGATGCATGATGTTGTGTTCCTCTTGGTTGAATGCTCTTTATTGTGTGCCCTTATTAGATAAGTTCTCAGTCCTTATTATTGCAAATGATGTTCGTGTGCCATGAATAATATAATCTGGGCAAGGGTATCAAAGTTTATACTATTATGAAAAACCAACATAATCATATATAGTACATGTCATAACTTTAACTCATGGAGTGATACAGACTTATTTATGTGACTTAAACCCACAATTAATCATTCATTACAAAGTTCTAGTCGATTAACATGGGAAGAAACAGGAACACTTGTTAATTGGGAAGACAAAACTGCAAGATCCGTGTTTTGCTCCCTCAACTCGAGTGCAATGATCCCTGCACGCAAAGTTACTAAATCTACAAATATCTCGCATAGTCCCAGTACTTGGCCTCCCACACAGCTTCTGTGCTTCCACCATTGTTGGTGCTTCTACATGTATATACCTCAAGGTTAATAATTATTACAAACTATTGTCGAATAAATCTTAATTTATAAAAGAAAGATTTATAGCCTCATTTTGCCATGCATATGATAAGATAATTACTCACCAAGTGCAGCAAAGAAAACAAGAACAACAAAGAGAAGAGAGAAGATGGAAGGAAACTTAGCCATAGAGAAACTCAAGATTAGTTATTAACTTATTAGTAACATATACAAGTGTTGTCAAATAAATTCGAAGTTGTCATTTTGCTATGCATATCATAAGATCATTTACTCACCAATAGCAGCAAAGATGAAAAAAGCAGCGAATAGAACGGTGATGATGAAAGCAAACTTAACCATGATGACTATTTCTACTTTTGTTTCAATGTATAGCCTGAGGAAGCAAGCCTAAGATCAAGCAATATTTGTAATGAAATGGTGAGGAGTTAGTATATTACTTGTCCCCACAATTTAAACACATACAACGTCTTCTAGCTAGTAGACAATATATATAATTAACTTGCAATAAGTAGATAATATCATAAAAAGATAAGTTGATGAACTGTTGACGATGGCTGCTTTCTCAACCACATATTAGACTTATCTATATCAAATGTTGCCTAAGAAACTGGTTATTTTGACTTGGTCAAGAATCTCAAGATGATTAAATGGTTCAAAAGCTGCAAATCAGAGTTTGAAAGCACCACTATTTGTTTCTTGCTTTTTTTTTTTCTTTTTTTTTTAGTTAAATAGCCAAGTAAACAATTTTTTTTTAGTTGAATAGCCAAGTAAACAATTTTCTCACACAGCTTCTGTGCTTCCACCATTGTTGGTGCTTCTACATGTATATACCTCAAGATTAATATTTATTAATAAACTATTGTCGAATAAACAGTAATTTATAAAACGAAAAATTTACTCACCAAGTACAGCAAAGAAAACAAGAAAAGCACAGAGAAGAGAGACGAAGGAAGCAAACTTAGCCATGACTATGATTACTTTGTTTCAGATGTATGAGTGTGAAGTGTAAGGAAAGAAGTATTAAGTTAAGTTAAAACTTCTAATATAACGAAACGGTGGTGTGTCGGTCGTTTTCTACTTTTCTAGTCATCGTTATAAAGTGTGGTAAGTGGTAACCTTACAAATTAACCACGTACACACCATCTTCCAGTAGAAAACAACATTAACACGCAAGTAGCTAATAATTATACAATATACGATGTTTACTACTAGTTCATGGCTGGTTTCTCAATCACATATTTCTGATCAGGCTGCCTCTCTGTCTAATGTAACCTAAGCAAATGATTGGAGTCAGTACTACATTGTTCTACATGGGCGGCTGGTTAATATATTTGACTTGGTCAAAATTAAATTCATCTTTTTCCGAAAAGATCAGCCGATGCAGGCCATGTGTAAAGTTATGAAGAACTGAGAAAATTAAAACCTGGTCGAGACATTAGGGCCACTAAGGTAGTACAACTGTGAGAAATAGTTAAAGTTAATTTTTATATAATTAATTACCTTCAATCAGAGAGAAATTAAGAAGTTTTTAACAATCAAAACTCAAATATTTGTTACACATCTAGTTGCAGGAATTAAGCTAAATCCATATCGTGCTCCCTCATGTCCAATGCACTTACACTAAGTTTTATTGTTTAAACAATTCTTTCACCAAGTCCCAATTGGCCTCCAGCACAACTTGATTGCTTATATTTCTTCACATACAACTTAAGGTTTGATTATGATTGTTCCTGTCAAATAAATCTTAGTATGTCATTTACTATGCATATGATAAAGATCAATACTCACCAAGCATAGCAAAGAGGACAGGGGCGGTGAAGAGAAGGGTGACGATGGAAGCAAACTTACCATGCCTATTACTATACTTGGACTTGAGTGTACATATATATGTATATAGCATGGTGGTGGGTTAGTCTTTTACTACATGTCAAAACGTATAATAAATGTGTTAACCCCACAATGCAAACATATACGGTCATCTTGTAGACAATATTAACACGCAAGTAGCTAATTATAGATGATGATAAGATGGTGACCCATCTATAGTTGATTAGTCAAGATCTTACCTATGGACGGCTTGCCTCTCTAGTCTAGCTACTGTTAACCTAAGCGGCTGGTTTAACTGGACTTGGTCAAGAATCTCAAGATGATTAAGTGGTTCAACGTTCCAATCAGCGTTTGAAAAGAACACGTGGAAGAACGAACCATGATGCATGCCATCTGTCCCGTTGGCCATCGTCCATTATATGAAACGTACGTTTCCATTTGAGATTAATATATTCGCTTGAGTGGCCAGAAATTAACCGGGTTGGGTCTTTGGATTAGTGAGTTAGTATTGGGCTCTTTGATCCAATGTTTCTAATGGGTAAGTGAATGCTGTTGATCACCAACGTAACTGAAGGCCCAAGGGCCCAACTAACTAACTCTGGACTCTATGCATCATCCAAAGCCGAGTATCAAACCCATAAAATGCCGAATTCTTTAATGATTAGTTCTAAATTAATTTATACATCTTTTATTTGCAAATCATCATAACTGTCTGAAATTGCGGTTTTTTTTCTTACAAAATAAGAATAATTACATTTATTTTTCTTACAAAAAAGTATGTATAGCTATTACATATATAGGGGACTGGATGGCAAACCAAAAAAAAAAAAAAAAACTAATTTCTGATTTTAATTTGTTACTTGCTTCTTATGTTGCCTTTTCATAAGATCTAAAAAGTGCAAATCAAAGAGGTACGATAGAACAGAAAGTGAAAGGCAATATATAAGGGGTCATTTGGGATTTGAGAAGTTTCTTCGTCCAGAATCATTGCATGAGTTGAATAGATTTGGGATTAAAGCTGCCAATATAGACAGAGGATTCGGTAGTGATTGAAGCAAAAGCCCAGCAGCAGAGCAGGCCATTAGGCAAATCACCAGTTTCCAAGACAGATAGTGTAAGACCACTACTTAATTATGACACACAACTTTGTCTTCACTATCATCATCTTCTTCTTCTACTTCTACTGCTACTTTTGTAGCCTTGTCGATTTTATCATAACTTGATTGACAAGACTATGACCTATAATATCTTATTTTATTTTATCGTTTCTCTCTATATTTGTTTTTTTTTATTATTACTTTTTTCTCCAAATGTTTATCTGTAATTAAGTCAGTAATATAATTAGTAAATCAATATATAATTAGTGCGTTATATGTGACAAATGTGAATATAATTAGTTTATTATATGTGAAACAAGCAGAGCACAACTAAAAAATAATAATCTTATGCTAATTTATTATTATTAATTAGTAGAATTTGTGCATACAAATATTTCTAGAAGGATGAGACACAATATATGAAGTATGACCCATTTTTGTTAGTGCAATTGGGTCACTAACTTTCTAAACAGTTTCAATTAATATATGCTTCAATCAATTTTTTTTGAGACGATTCCATTATAAAATAAACCATTTTCAAGAAGCATATGATGCAAACTGTACCATCATCGCAAGTGAAAAAAATCCAAATTGCTTGTTGAAAATCAAACATGTGAACTAAGCTTCCATAGAGGTAAACAAGATTCAACAGTTGTACAACCTAATCGTGAAGTGAACTAAGCTTATAAAGTTCAACAAATTCGTATTTTATGTATAACGAAAGTTATTCATATCATAAAAGAATAAATGAATCCAAAGTTTCATTAGCCGTGAATAATTTGATGACAAAGATGACATGATGATATTTGGTGATAAATGTTCCTCCCCATCTTTAGCTATGTCGTAAAAAAAAAAATTCTCATATATGTATATTTTAAGTTTATATCAGAAAATAATCCATCCAACAAAGTATTGAGATTCTTTTTTCTTGAAAATAAAATAAAATTTTCCCACTCACTAAAAGAAGCTCTCTTTTATACTAGAAGAGAACCTAAAACTTTATTCCCAAAGTGTGCATATGAGTTTTGGGCATTTTCAGCGAATCATAGAAGAGATGCTTCTCTTCCCTTCCCTTCTCCATCACAAAATTGACATCTCATTACGTTTCAAAGGTTCTGTGTACCGCCCGGTTGATCTGATTTTCAATCAATCACCTTAAACCGGTTAAGATTCGTCTAAACATAGACAGACACGTGGAAAAAAAAAGCACATAGATACTTGTTGTCAAATTCTATATATTTTCAGCGTTTACTTGTTAAATCTATTATATGTTTATCATATCTAAAAAGAGAGAATATAAGACAAAAAAAAATAGTAAAAATGAGAAATTCGCTGCCATTACTTAGAAAGGACCTTTGTATAACAATAATATACCGCAAATACATAGAAGAACATTGGTCCCCAAAGCGAATGTGTCTAGACAATATCATGTCAACCCAATTCTTTAAAAAGATTTAGAAGTCACTTTTTTGTTGCTAAAAGCACCTGATATTTTCTAATTAGCGCGATGAATGAAGATATATATTCGTCAAGAAAAGAAAGAAACTATACTCTGCTTGTTTGTATAAACGCAGACCAATAATTCACATTTCTTATCGTTTGATCGAATCGATCTTGTTTTGTGGTGACATGCACCAACAAAACGAATAGTATTTTTTCTTTTTTAAATTGAACCAGTGAAGCGTGGGGACCCCGTGAAGCAGAGAAGAGAAGGTCTCTGTAGTATACTGACCGGTGAGTGAGTGAGTAATCTGAGTTAGTGAGAAAGACAAATACAATGAAGAGCGTTGACTTGTGGAGGTTGACGCCAAAAACACAAGGAGCAATTTTGTCTCTATTATTAAGGAAAAGGACAGAGACAAACTTTCTATACGGGCCAAATTAGGCCCTACTTCTAATTAAAGCCCATTTACTCTCTTTTTTTTTTGTCTTCTTGTTCCTCTCCTCCTCCTTTTCCTTATCACGTGACGATGCCCAAAAAACGCCGTCGGATGCCGTCGACAAGACGGCGACAGTAGAGAGAAGAAGAAAACTACACCACAGGCTCTCTCTCTCTCTCTCTCTCTCTCTCTCTCTCTCTATAGGGAACGTAACGTACTAACGTTTAAGGGTCTTGTCCGTAGCATTTACTTAATCATCCGTCAATGTGTCTATCACTATCTAATTTTTAAGTCTCACGAACCCAAAAGAAAGTCGTGTCAGAAAAACTTAACAGAGAAGAAGAAACGACGACGTTCCCTAATTTCCCATGTCTAAAGTATAGTAGTAGTGCTAGTAGTGACGGCTTCTTGACAAAAACATAACTGTAAAGTTTTTTCTTTCTTTCAGTAAAAAGTGCATTTTTATAAGTGTGTCAATAATCCCAAATTTACACATTTTCCTGTAAATTTTTTTGGGTTTGAATAGTCACCAAATTTGTACAACAACTTCTCCGAAATCTTACTGTTCACTCGTTATGAAAAAAAATATGAATCTGAAATGACGATGAGAAACTGACGCAAGTATGTTTGACCACACAAGTCGTGTAGTTCGTAATCTTATCTACCTGCAGATGTTCTCTATTAAGGCTTCAACTGTACTTACATTTTCGTATAATTTCTATTCATAAACCGATAATTTGTAGTAATCATAACAAAAACTACCCGATAATTTGAAGAAAAAAATAAATAACTATAAGGTTTCTTCTAATTTGACGCATTATTTTATATAATAATGATATTTATGTATAAAGTCAGATAAAAGTATTTATTCTCTCTTTCAAAGTCTTGGAGGGTATATAGAACAGTACCACTTCGATTCTCTTCATCTTCTTCCTTCATAATGTGCCATTGTTCATCTCTCTGTGTCCTATCGCATAACACTCACGCTAACTTATTATTCTCTCTATCACTCTCTCTCTCTCTCTCTCTCTCTGAGAGGACATCTTAAAGAAAATAACAAATATGGCGATGAGACTTTTGAAGACTCATCTTCTGTTTCTGCATCTCTTTCATCAGCTTTACGTTATCTCTTTCTTCTTTCTTTTTTTCTCACCATGCTTGGCTTACACTGACATGGATGTTCTCCTTACTCTCAAATCCTCTATGATTGGTCCTAAAGGCGACGGTCTCCACGACTGGACTCACTCCCCTTCTCCGGCCGCTCACTGCTCTTTCTCCGGCGTTTCATGCGACGGTGAACGTCGTGTTATCTCTCTCAACGTCTCCTTCACTCCTTTGTTTGGTACCATCTCACCGGAGATTGGGATGTTAAACCGCCTGGTGAATCTAACTTTAGCTGCCAACAATTTCTCCGGTGAATTACCGTTGGAGATGAAGAGTCTAACTTCACTCAAGGTTTTGAATATCTCCAACAATGCAAACCTCAATGGACGCTTCCCTGGAGAGATTTTAAAAGCCATGGTCGATCTTGAAGTTCTTGACGCTTACAACAACAACTTCACCGGTACGTTACCACTGGAGATTCCAGAGCTCAAGAACCTGAAACATCTCTCTCTCGGTGGAAATTTCTTCACCGGTGAGATTCCAGAGAGTTACGGAGATATCCAAAGCTTAGAGTATCTTGGACTCAACGGAGCTGGACTCTCCGGTAAATCTCCGGCGTTTCTATCCCGCCTCAAGAACTTGAGAGAAATGTATGTTGGATACTTCAACAGCTACACCGGTGGTGTTCCTCCAGAGTTCGGTGGTTTAACGAAGCTTCAGATCCTTGACATGGCGAGTTGTACCCTCACCGGAGAGATCCCGACGAGTTTAAGTAACCTGAAGCATTTACACACTCTGTTTCTCCACATCAACAATCTAACCGGACACATACCACCGGAGCTCTCCGGTTTAATCAGCCTCAAATCTCTCGATTTATCAATCAACCAGTTAACCGGAGAGATTCCTCAAAGCTTCATCGATCTCGGAAACATCACTCTCATCAATCTCTTCAGAAACAACCTCTACGGTCCAATACCAGACTTCATCGGAGAATTACCAAAACTCCAAGTCTTCGAAGTGTGGGAGAACAACTTCACGTTACAACTACCGGCGAACCTTGGCCGGAACGGGAATCTGAAAAAGCTTGATGTCTCTTCTAATCATCTCACCGGGCTTATCCCCATGGATTTATGCAGAGGCGAGAAACTGGAGATGTTGGTACTCTCTAACAATTTCTTCTTCGGTCCGATTCCAGAAGAGCTTGGTCAATGCAAGTCGCTAAACAAAATCAGAATCGTCAAGAATCTTCTCAACGGAACTGTTCCGGCGGGGCTTTTCAATCTCCCCCTAGTTACGATTATCGAACTCAACGATAATTTCTTCTCCGGTGAGCTTCCGGCGAAGATGTCCGGCGATGTTCTCGATCAGATTTACCTCTCCAACAACTGGTTTTCCGGCGAGATTCCACCAGCAATCGGAAATTTTCCCAGCTTACAGACTCTGTTCTTAGATCGGAATCGGTTTCGCGGCAATATTCCGAGGGAGATCTTCGAATTGAAGCATCTGACGAAGATCAACACAAGTGCGAACAACATCACCGGCGTTATTCCAGATTCAGTCTCACGCTGCACTACTCTAATCTCCGTCGATCTCAGCCGTAACCGAATCAACGGAGAAATACCTAAAGAGATCAACAACGTGATTAACCTCGGAACTCTAAATCTCTCCGGTAATCAATTAACCGGTTCAATCCCTACCGGAATCGGAAACATGACGAGTTTAACAACTCTAGATCTCTCTTACAACGATCTCTCCGGAAGAGTACCACTCGGCGGTCAATTTATGGTGTTCAACGACACTTCCTTCGCCGGAAATACCTATCTCTGTCTACCACACCGCGTCTCATGTCCAACACGGCCAGGGCAAACCTCCGATCAAAACCAGACGGCGTTGTTCTCACCGTCAAGGATCGTAATCACAGTAATCGCAGCGATCACAGCGTTAGTACTAATCAGCGTAGCGATTCGTCAGATGAACAAGAAGAAGAACCAGAAATCTCTCGCCTGGAAACTAACCGCCTTCCAGAAACTAGATTTCAAATCCGAAGACGTCCTCGAGTGCTTGAAAGAAGAGAACATTATCGGTAAAGGCGGAGCTGGAATCGTCTACCGTGGATCCATGCCAAACAACGTGGACGTCGCAATCAAACGACTCGTTGGCCGTGGCACTGGGAGAAGCGATCATGGATTCACGGCGGAGATTCAAACTTTGGGAAGGATTCGACACCGTCACATCGTTAGACTTCTCGGTTACGTAGCGAACAAGGACACGAACTTGCTTCTCTATGAGTACATGCCTAATGGAAGCCTTGGAGAGCGTTTGCATGGATCTAAAGGTGGTCATCTCCAATGGGAGACGAGACATAGAGTAGCCGTGGAAGCAGCGAAGGGCTTGTGTTATCTTCACCATGACTGTTCACCGTTGATCTTGCACAGAGATGTTAAGTCCAATAACATTCTTTTGGACTCTGATTTTGAAGCCCATGTTGCTGATTTTGGGCTTGCCAAGTTCTTAGTGGACGGTGCTGCATCTGAGTGTATGTCTTCAATTGCTGGCTCTTATGGATACATCGCCCCAGGTATGTTACTAATTTGGATTATGACATATCGATAACACTAGTACGAACCAAGATGTTGTATTCACAAGCCATGCTCTAATCACATGTTCTTTTGTTTGACAGAGTATGCATATACCTTGAAAGTGGACGAGAAGAGTGATGTGTATAGTTTCGGAGTGGTGTTATTGGAGCTAATAGCCGGGAAAAAACCGGTTGGTGAATTTGGAGAAGGAGTGGATATAGTTAGGTGGGTGAGGAACACGGAAGAAGAGATATCTGAGCCGTCCGATGCTGCTATTGTTGTTGCGATAGTTGACTCGAGGTTGACTGGTTATCCCTTGACCAGTGTGGTTCATGTGTTCAAGATTGCAATGATGTGTGTGGAGGATGAAGCCGCGGCAAGGCCTACGATGAGGGAGGTTGTGCACATGCTCACTAACCCTCCTAAATCCGTAGCTAACTTGATTGCGTTCTGACCCAAGCAAGATAAATGAACAATAAGATTTGTAATTTTTGGGTGTTCTTATAAAATGGGTTTTAAATACTTGTGGGTTGTATATCTGTTGTGTTTCAATTTGTATATTACCTCTTTTATGTGTTCTTACTCTTATTCACCGAGTATGTAATGTAATCAATATGCTTTTTGCTAATGGCTTTAAACTTGAGCTGACTCTTCTTTCAAAGTGTATAAAATAAAAGATGGTGAGAGCTCGACCTCTGGTTACAAGTTCCAACACTATTATATTGTTTACAGTAATCCCAATATGGATTACTTATGTGAGAGCTCGACCTTGGTTACAAGTTCAAACAATATATCTTTAAAAATCATTCTCCCAATATATTGTTTACAGTAATCCATATTTATGTGAATCCATAATTATGCGAATTAGAATGTTGTCAAAATTCATGTTTGTTTTAGCTTCCAAAATGCCGTCATGTGACCTTACCTACAATGTATTTTACCTGCGTATGGCACAAATTTTAAAAATGAAAAATGTAGCTGATGAAACACGGAATCAACAGAGTCATGGAAAGATTATACGATCGAACTTGTACAGAGAATTATTCTGTATTTAGACAAATAGCCAAGTTTATTTGCATTGAGGTCTTGGTGCTCATTCACTTCTCACCTCTCTAAGATGTGAATTACCAATAAAAGCAAAGAAAACCACCTCATAGTTTGTAGCAAAACACACATAAACTGAGAATCGAAAAGCCCACAAAAACCAAAAACCAAGAACTCAAGCTTAAGGTAATTAGCAACAGAGGTCAACCTGTATAATTTGTTATTATCCACAAGAGCAAACACACATGCTACAGATCGAGTAGGATGCTGTAGAACCAACTGCATACAAAACTCTTAATTCCCTCCATTCATGGCCAATTTATAAAAAGAAGTGATGGATTTGCATTTCACTTGCAAGGTAGCAGAGGTGAGAAGAAGAGGAGACACACAAGTCTGACAACATTAGAGAGATACACTCTAATTTCAGCTCACAAAACATTCTTCATCCGCAACAAATTCAGGTTTTAACAAATACATTAAGGTAAAATACAAGATCCTGCGTGCATTAACAAGCATATACACTGTAAATCTAAAGGAACGGGTACATAACTCTTGATTCAAACTCCATTTTATTAGAAAAAGGAAGCATCTTTCATCATATTACTATCAAATTATATTACAAAAAGAAAAAGAAAAACTCCCCAACTTCAGAGTAACAAGAACAACACCATTCAAACTTATTCCTCATCATCATCTATTATACACGAAATTTATATCTAACACATATGTTATCTACTTCACCTGCAACTCTTTTTTTAACAAGCAAAAAACAAAAAAAAAGTCAATTATATATAAAAAAAAAGGGGAAGATTAAGTTTTATGTACTCAGAAAGCGCCGTAGGGAATGTGTGGCGGAAGTCTAAATCGAACTTGGGAAGCCGGTGACCGAACCGCAACACCGTGCCAGCAAATCCCTCCTTTACAACTACTCCCACCGCCGTCGTGATGGTGACGGTGGTGACTAAGATCCTCCTCACCACCAACACGATTGTACCGCGAAACCGCATCCGCTGCTCTGCGAGACACATCCCAGGCGAGCGTAACCGCCAGCAAAACGCCTACCGCGGTAATCGAAACCACGACGACGAATCCAGCGCTGAAACTCTTCCCGGTGATCAATCCGTAGGCCTTAATCGCGATAATCACCGCCACGTAGATCGTCGCGAGATTCCCGAGAACCGCGTCGGATAACGCCATGAGACACATAGATACAGGGCTTTGTTACGAAATTTTATATCCTCCGTCGCCGTGAAATTTTGTTGCCGGTTGCGGTGGGAAGAAGAAAGCTTTTTAACAGAAAGTGAGAGAAGAAAAGCGAAATTGTGGTCGATGTTGAAAAACTCATCCTTGTTTCAATGTAGGGGAATGATTATTTTACTATTATACCCCTTGTTGAGATATTATTTTTTGCCCTTTTGTATTCTATGGGCTCATCATCATCATCAGTGACAAGAGTTCGGTGATGAGTAACCCTTACCCTCCGCACAAAAAACGACATCGTATCTAAGTTTGGTGAGACTTGCCACGCACTGCAAACAATGGGTGTATGACAATTTCACGCATGTCATTGTCTTTTATGTCCTGTGGTCAAAATTCAAAATATAAATGCTCGTGGGCTTCAAAATGGGCCTTTAAGATTAACAATAGGCTCCAATTTTAGAACCAGCAATTGATATTAGTATATTACTACCATTAAGCTTTCTTCTAATACGAACAGTGCTTTCCTAACTATAAGAGAGAGATTAAGAAATGTGTCTTCATATTCCATGATAGCTTTATTCTTATGATATTTTTGTCAAATCATATGCAGTGAAATAGACACTTGGTTAATATTTATAGGTTTACTCCCACTATAAATCAAAAGGCATCTTCATCATCAACTCATCCCTTAATTTATATTATCTATTTAATCTTCTTTTTATTTTTTCAGCTAGTGGTCAGCACAAATCACTATTTTCGATTATTATTACTTTTGAAATGTATCATGCATCATAATAGAGAATTTCTTATGGCTCTCATATGCGTTTAGTAAAGTCAGATTATTATTAAATACAGTGGTTGAGATATGACCAAGAAATGTAGTGATAGTATTTTTAATCATTTCAATGTTCGGAATGGCCAACGCAGGCATCAATCAGATAACAAACAAATGAAATATTCCCCCATCTTTCTCCAATATTTATGGATTTAAAACTACATAGATTACTTTAACATATAGTGTACATATATAATAATATTCTCCTAATCCTAATTATATTGATAAAAATCAAGCAAATATCCTGACCTTACAAATTTAACATTCCCCGGCCTTTATGAACTCCACCAGCACCATCAGCCCACTTTCTTTCCCACGTGTTCCTCACCCAAAATTAAGAATCCTCCCATGAAGGGTTTACTTGGTGTAACGAGCTTTTTTTCAAGTGATTGATACCTTCTTTTTTTCTCAGTTCTGACTCAATCTGACGTCGTTCTGAGGTTAAAAAGGTTACATGGGCCTGAACGAGATAAGGCTTTTAGTCAGTGATGGCCCACAACGTCCTGATTCAGTGTTTTACGCGGGAGACAAAGTTAGGTCAAAAGAGCCGCCACATCCGACAAAAGGCCAGCGCAAGAGTGACTGTGATTCCACATAACGAAGAAACATGACAAGTGGACGGTGATCCTTTGCTCTGATCCAAAGCTCCTTCGTATATCATTGACGTATCCACCGGCGACCACGACGTACCACTACCTCCGGAAGGACTCGTCGTCGACGAAGTTCCTGATGGCGTTGTCTGTTTCGGATCTGGGCTCTGATCTTGAGATGATTTTTGACTGCCAAGGAACAAAAAAAAAAAAACACAGCCGTTTCATTACATGTGTATGTGATTCTGCCACGTGTCCTCTGGATTGGCGCTCATATTATAAAAATCTCACTGGACCGTTAAAGATCCACATCGCAATAAATCTATCTCTATGCTCGAGGATAAAACATAATTGTATAACTAGTACATTTACTATTCATTATTAGCAAACTAATACATTTTTACTATTTGGACACTATTTAGAACCTATTAAAAACCCTCTTAAATCTAATAACTAAAAATATTCATCAAAATATATTTGTTTTCTATAAAATTTCAATTACATAAAAATCTATATATTTTTTTCTATAATTTGATATGCATTTTTTTAAATATAATTTCAGATATTTTTCAAATAAATTTTGATACGTCCAGCTATTCTTATGTACAGTTGTGTGTCGATATACGGAAAATTATCCGTACAGCGGTCTATATATACGTATAATTATACGTGTACAGATATTTTCTGGTCTATATATGTATATTTGTTTATGTGTAAATTTGTTTATACGTAGTTGTTTTTCTTTGTACAAATATTTGATGTACAATAATATGTTACTGTACAGTTGTCTGTCGGTACAAATATCTGAAATAGTAAAATTGTACTATTTTGCTAATTGTTAATAGTAAATGTACTATTTTTATAATTATGTTTCAAAAACGTACTAGTTTGCCAACACACCCTAAAATTTAGGCTATAAAACAAAATTAAAAATAAATCGTAAAGAACACACATTTTCTTTTTGCGGAATAAAGCAAAATCCTACAGTTGTAGATTCTTAGTTTATTTCCAGCTACGTATATTAATAATTGACAAAAGAACAAAAAAAAAATCGAAGTTCGTAGTTACTTCGATTGCACGGTAAGCGAAAGGTAATTAATGGTTAGTAAATATGTTGTCTAATGTAATTGACTAAATAACCCTCACAGAATTAAGCGTCACTCTCTCTCACCTAACCTTAATAATGCTAATTCGGTGCAACAGTGAAGAAGGTGTAATCCGAAATGACTCTTCCCTAATCAGACCTTGTTTATCAAAAACTAAAGGGTATAAATGGAATTATCACCTGGTGTTAGGAGATGGGCAAAACGTGATGACGTAATTAGGGGACTTGGCGCATGTGAAGGTGCTGCTCTGATCATCGTAAGCGTAGCTGTAAGCACGTGGGCACGCGGTTTTGAACACCAACGAGTACGACGACGGTTTACACGTGTCCGGTGTACCGTAAGCGCCGCTGCAGCAATACTCCGGCGTACGGAAAGCTTCACACGCGCTTTTACATCCCATGGACAGTTTACCTCCGCCGTCTAAACTCGTCACCTTCAGCTCTGACGGACACGATCCGTTAAGATCCACAACGCATCCGGTGCTGCTGCAGTTCAACCCCGAGCCTCCCTGGGGAACCACTAGCATCGGGACGTTGTAACCGTCGACGAGGCTCACGTCGTAGAAATCGAAACCACCAGATCCGTCGAGTGTGAATTCCGCAAGCGTAGCCGGAGGCGTCGCGCCGGATCCGGAGCATTCGACGGTACCGGATCCGCAATCTCCGGTGAGGCAAGTGAATTTACCGTCGGTGTCGGTGGTGCATTGAGTTCTCCCCCAGAATCTTCCTCCCCATGAAGTCGGAGCGTCGATTGTTCGCTCTTCGCCTTTTTGGAGTACGAATCCGGTCGTCGGAAGTGGTGGAACTCCGGCGTTTGATAAAAGTCCGGGCCAGACTGTGTAATCGCATTTGTTCACCATAACGAAGCTCGTTGATCTAACTCCTGTTTATATTACCAAAATCAAATCATCACATAGTCACAGTATTTAATCATTTCTTAAGTTAATTAATCCATAAAAATCGGAGAAGAATCGTACCAGAAATGAACAAATGGGAGAAGACAAGTAATAAGATCAATGGCAACGGAAGAGCCATTGGAATAAAGAAGAAGAAGATTTTAAGGATCTTTATGCTCTGTTGTTTCGTTTTCTTCTTCTTCTTTATTAGTTTTATTTATGTATATAAACAGAGAGCTTAATAAAAAGAGGATCCTGAGAGCGAAAGAGAGATGAAGAAGACGATGAGTGATTTATAGAAGCAGCCTTTTTTCCTCTGTTGGTAAAATTCAGGTGTGGGTATTGGTTGGTAGCTTATGGTACGCTTGCTTACGTGGGTACACATAATTGGGTTTATTTTTTAACCGTTATGATTAAAGAAAAAAAAACAACACTTTAATTAAAATAGAGTTACTGAGCTAATCTTTTATGTTTAGTCGATTCATGATTAGAACTAGGCGATAATGGGTTAGTCTAGGGGTCTGGTTTGAAAATGGTTACATACCACTAATTGTTGTCTCGCCATTTGATTAAAAATAATTTACAAAGAAAATATCCAAGTACCTTTTCAGTTTTCACAAATCACTTTTAATATAAAAAATTATCTACAAAACGTAAAGTAATTTGTATATTTTTCAAGATTCTTTAGCTTTACTGTATAATTACGCGATTAGGATTTGTCTAACCAGTGCAAAACAGTATTACTTTTTCATATATGGTTTCATTGTAGCATTGTTGTTTCCAATCTAAACAAGTAACAACAACAACAAGTAAGAAAATGATGACGAGCATCAAGAGTCCAAAACCATATAATTTATACAACTAATCATATTATTTTCCGAACAACTAGGTACGATAGTGGACGTTTCAACGTCTATCATGATAGTCGCGGGCCATGTAAATTTATATATTGGAGGATCCATATAATATCTTTCTTCGTTATTAAAAAAAAAGTGTTTTGTCCAATGCAATCTCTTTGCCTTTGATTGATCAATTGCAATGTCGACACACCAAAAAAATGTGTACTGTACATCTTTGTAATACACAAAGTATCTTGTTAGATATTTTGTTGTTGTGGTCAAAAGTGAAACTGTTGTTACCTTTTACTGTTTTTAAAGGTGGTGTGAACTGTGAACGATAAACAGAAGGTATAAACGTGATAAAAAAAAAAAAAAAAAAAATTCAATAATTGCGTTGCGTTATGTTATTTTGTAGCGACCAATTTTGTAATTTTGTATTCAGACAGGTCACGTCCACTTTACAATATTTCGTAAGCTATCGTCTTCACTCACGTTTTTTTTAATTCGTCCGTCACATGACAAATTACAATAAACCAATGTACATTATGCGGTTTGCCTATTGATTAGAAGATACGATAAAAATCCACAAAAAAAAAAAAGAAGATACGATAAAAAATATTTATTGGGCCTGTAAAGTTTAGTATAATGAATAAGCCCAGCAGAATTTCATCAAAAAGCACAAATGTGCTGCCCATAAATTAGGTTCGAAATGCAGACTGCATGAACTCTTGCTCATACTCGGAGCACAAAACAAGCGTTATGATCATTATCATCAAAATTAATAGATCGTTCGTAAGAAAAAAAATGTAGCTGATTGATTTTGCCTCTAAACTTCTTGTTCACAGCACACAGTTTCTTTGATTTACATATATATTTTGCTTAAATCACTCTTTCGCAATGAGACATGTCCTTGTCGAGGTGTTGGTTCTGACCTTTTTGTTCGTCTTGGAGTTGAGCTATGCGTATGCACCAATCGTATTGTATCAATGGGTCGTATCTTATTCTCAACGTTCCATTCTTGGAGGCAACAAGCAGGTTCCAATATTGATGATTCGCTTTATCTTTTTATTTGTTAAAAGACATATGCAGTTAAGACATAATATATTGAATCATTTATTACATGATCAATCAACAGATCATAGTGATCAATGACATGTTTCCTGGACCAATCCTTAATGCAACAGCAAACGATATCATAATCGTCAACATTTTCAACAATTTGAATGAACCCTTTCTTATGACTTGGTAAATATTTCACACTTCAATTAGGTGTCTCTTTGTATTGGTTTTGGTTATTTCATATTTGTTATGAAATCTATATATACAATATAAAGGAATGGATTACAATTGCGGAAGAACTCGTGGCAAGACGGAGTTCGAGGGACAAATTGTCCCATACCACCGGGGACAAATTGGACGTACCGTTTTCAGGTGAAGGATCAGATCGGAAGTTACTTTTACTTTCCGTCGCTTCTACTTCAGAAAGCTGCTGGAGGTTACGGTGCTATTAGAATCAATACCCCCGAACTTGTGCCAGTTCCATTCCCAACGCCCGACTATGAATACGACATATTGATCGGAGATTGGTTCTATTCCGACCATACGGTTAGTTTTATTTTTATTTTACCGTATACTTAATCGGCATTACCATCCAAAGTGATTTCCTATATGGCTATATATGTACTTTTAATTATCAAGCAAGGTGACTATTATAAGTTTAATTTAAACAAATATAATTATACTAGAATTGATCATTTGTGTACTTGATGACAATAAAAATGTTATGAGTATGATATTGCATTTTTATTGAATTTTATGTAGCTAATTTGTTGTAAAAAATGTTTGGGTTGATTTAATTTGCATATATAACACGAGTAATTTGTTTTGCAAATGGGTTGATGAAGGATATGAGAGCTTCACTTGACACTGGTCACAGTTTGCCAAATCCTGATGGTATTCTTTTTAACGGGCGTGGTCCTGAAGAGACCTTTTTTGCATTTGAACCTGGTGAGTTCGTTTTCTTAATCTATCACACAGAACATGTCACATGTTATCTCTAATAATATTCTAATAACACACAAATATTCGTTTTGTTTTGTGCGTAATGACAGGTAAAATGTATAGGCTAAGAATATCAAACGTGGGTCTCAAAACATGTTTAAACTTTAGGATCCAAGACCATGATATGCTTCTAGTTGAGACAGAGGGTACGTACGTTCAGAAACGTGTTTACTCCAGCCTCGACATCCACGTGGGTCAATCATACTCTGTTCTCGTCACTGCTAAAACCGACCCGGTCGGAATTAGCCGCTCCTACTACATATTAGCCACAGCCCGGTTCGTTGATTTCTACCTTGGCGGTATAGCGTTAATTCAATATCCCAACTCCCCCATCGACCCGGTCGGATCAGTTCCACTCGCACCTGCTTCGTGGGATTACAGTTCCTCGGTGGAACAAGCCCTATCCATCCGGTAAATAAATATCCTCATTTTTTACCTTTTTGGTATGTTTCATTTTTGTAGTCTAAGTTAAAATTCTTGACTAATAACTAAGTGTAAGTGTGACACAGAATGGACCTAAACGTTGGAGCGGCAAGATCAAACCCACAAGGTTCGTACCACTACGGACGTATAAACGTAACCAGAACGATAATATTACATAACGACGTCATGTTATCGTCGGGCAGACTTCGTTACACAATTAACGGGGTTTCGTTTGTCTACCCCGAAACTCCGTTAAAGCTCGCTGATCATTTCCAGCTAAATGACACGATCATACCCGACATGTTCCCGAATTACCCTTCCAACAAAACACCGAGTTTAGGCACTTCAGTGGTCGATATACATTACAAAGATTTCGTCCACATCGTGTTCCAGAATCCTCTGTTTGAGTTGGAGAGTTATCACATCGATGGTTACAATTTCTTCGTTGTCGGGTAAAAAAAAGTTACAATCATAATCGAAATCATGTATAGCCATATTATACACTAGGTACTAATCTTATTTGAGTTGATGTTAGATATGGATTTGGAGCTTGGTCTGAGAGCAAAAGAGCTGGATATAACTTAGTGGATGCTGTTTCACGATCAACAATCCAGGTAAAATCGTAGTATAATCTCGTAAGGAAAGTAATAAACCAGTGATTTAATTAGGTTTGGTTAACTGAATTTTGTTCGTGTATATAGGTTTATCCATATTCATGGGCAGCAATACTAATAGCTATGGATAATCAAGGAATGTGGAACGTGAGATCACAAAAAGCAGAGCAATGGTATCTTGGTCAAGAGCTTTATATGAGAGTTAAAGGTGAAGGACAAGAAGATCCTTCGAATATTCCGGTTAGAGATGAAAATCCGATACCGGAAAATGTCATCCGTTGCGGCAGAGTTCTTTAATAAGTAATAGTTTTTATATAATTAAAATCAAATGGTATTAGTAAAAAACAAAACAAAATTAAACTCGGGTTTATTGTAATATGATTTAAAGATTACTAATGTGGATCTTAGGTTTGGGATTAGGTCGTGATTGACTACTACTAACTAAATGACGTTTAATGTTTAAAAACGTTTAATATTGTTGCCGTATGTAATGAACTAATAACGTGCTCCCATATCCTCCTCTATCTCTATGTTCTCTTCAGTGACATTGTTTCACAATAAGTTGGGAGCAAGTAATAGTGTAATACCAAGAACAAATGGTTGGGAACAAGTTACAAGTATATGTTTTTAAAAAAAATATAGGATCGTTTTTTACGAGTTCAATTATTGATATTGACGTTACGTAATAAACAGTAGATCGAATTTGACATAAAAATAAAACAAAAATAATTGGATCAAATCTCAGATCTTACTACAGTCTACATCTACCTACATGTGCTATGACATTATTATTTTTCTATATGAGTACCTCTATATATAATTTTTTTTGTTATCAGTGTTGCTCGATAGATCCAAACGCAATTGTTGTGATGATATTTTTATACTAAGAATAATTCAACCGATTTCAATTATTGTGTTTTATCGTTTACGTAGAAATAGACATAGGTATTCAAGATCTCCAGATCGTTTATTACATCTAGCTACATGTGCTAATGTCACTAAAACAACTAAGAGACTAAAGACAAGTTATTGAATACACTTCGCACCCCATCTTGTAATTGCGTAAGTAAATGTTTACTGTTTCCATGATTACATAGTTGAAAATGTAAAAAGACGAGTCTAAATATGAACCATATCTTAATTAGTGAAAATATTGATTATTTGCTCTTTCTCATTTGTAATGTTAGTGTAGATTTCAGACCATGATTTATTTGGATTTTTAAGAAAGAAAGAACAAAAAAAAAATCCAAAACAAAGAAAAAGGGCTAAAACAATAATACCAATATTAATTGAATTTACAATAGTCTTTCCATTTTCTATAAATCTCATAAATCTATAATAGTCAATAGTAAAATTTAATGATATAATCTATATAAGAAGAAAATAAAGCCATCACATTGATTTTAATGGCTAAATAATTCCAAAATATATAATTAAATATAAAGCTATCACATTGACTTAAATCTAATTAAATATAAAGCTATCACATTTATTTAAATCTTATTAAATATAAAGCTATAACATTGATTTAAAAGGCTAAATAATTTCAAAATATCTAATTAAATATATATTGGTATGATGTATTATTCAAAATTTTCCAAAATTATAATATATATTTCTGTTGAAGAGATAAAATTGGTAAGTAAATCTATTTTTCAATAAAAATCAAAAAAAGGAAAAAAAAATGTAGGGTGCAGTTAAAAAAACAGAGAATAAAAAAGAAAAACAGAGGAAGAAGAAACGGTTATAGCTGGCAAGATCCATCTTCCATCTTCCCCACTCTGTCAATTTTGTCACTACACCCCAAACCAAACATAAAACTCTCCCGCCTCTCTCTCTCTTTCTCTCCTTCTTCTTATTCTCTTCCTCTTCTGTCATCTCAGATCTCACAAACCTTCAATCATGAGAGAGATCCTTCACGTTCAAGGTGGCCAATGCGGTAACCAAATCGGTTCCAAATTCTGGGAAGTCATCTGCGACGAACACGGCGTTGATCCCACCGGACGTTACAACGGTGACTCCGCTGATCTCCAGCTCGAACGTATCAACGTTTATTACAATGAAGCATCCGGTGGTAGATACGTTCCTCGTGCTGTTCTCATGGATCTTGAGCCTGGTACTATGGATAGTATCAGATCCGGTCCCTATGGTCAGATATTTCGTCCTGATAACTTTGTTTTCGGACAGTCCGGTGCTGGTAACAACTGGGCCAAAGGTCATTATACCGAAGGTGCTGAGCTTATTGATTCTGTTCTTGATGTTGTTCGTAAGGAGGCTGAGAACTGTGATTGCCTTCAAGGTTTCTCTCTCTCTCTCTCTCTCTCCCTATATCCATTTTTTTCTGAGTGTTTCATGTTTAGTAACCAATGATCTTGAGAATCTTGATCATCCTCGCATTGCACTTGGTCACTGTTTCTATTCACTGATCTCGTCAAGATCACGGTTCTGATTAATGAATTACGTGAACATGATCCTTCTTTTGCTCATGGAGTGAGTCGGTGCTTGTGTCTTAAATAATGCATATTTTTTCAAGAATCAGATGTTAATTTACTGTTTGAGAGTGAGCTGTTAACACTTAATGATTGACCAAGCAATTAGATTTTGTCTAACTTTTTAGCGTCATTGAATCTAAAAACAATATCCTAATTTGGCTGTAGTGTTATTGCGGCCCCTAATGTTTTGTTCCAGATTTGTGACAGTGGATCAAAATTACCACGTGAACCTTAAACCATATCGAATTGTTTAATAGCACTTTGGAGAATATTGTTGTGTTGATACTATCGAGGTGTAAACATATCATGTTCAGACCATGATTAATTTACAGAAAATCACATATCAATAACTTTTGGATCTGGTCTGAACATAAAAAGACAAGTCCTTTAGTCCTTTGTTACTTGAGTATTTTATAAATTGATGATTTGGTTAACGGGAATCTAGCTTTATGGAAACCTGCCATTTGGACTATGTTTAGTTGCAGTTCAAGTGACATTGTTTCACTTTCACATTTCATTATTACAGGGTTTCAAGTATGTCACTCTCTCGGAGGAGGCACAGGTTCAGGAATGGGAACTCTCTTGATATCAAAGATCCGTGAGGAGTACCCGGACAGGATGATGCTCACATTCTCTGTTTTCCCATCACCAAAGGTCTCAGACACAGTCGTTGAGCCTTACAATGCCACTCTCTCAGTCCACCAGCTCGTAGAGAACGCTGATGAATGCATGGTCCTCGACAACGAAGCTCTCTACGATATCTGTTTCCGCACTCTCAAACTCAGCACTCCTAGCTGTAAGTACTAAGCACCAAGTTTTGTGTCGAAAAAAGTTAAAGTTCTCTTGGTTTCTAAATCATATGTGTACATTTTTGTAGTTGGAGACTTGAACCACTTGATCTCAGCAACAATGAGTGGTGTGACTTGCTCTCTAAGGTTCCCTGGACAACTCAACTCTGACCTAAGGAAACTCGCCGTGAACCTTATCCCATTCCCGCGTCTCCATTTCTTCATGGTTGGTTTCGCGCCTCTCACTTCCCGTGGCTCTCAACAGTACATCTCTCTCACAGTCCCCGAGCTGACGCAGCAAATGTGGGACGCCAAGAACATGATGTGCGCAGCTGATCCACGCCACGGACGCTACCTCACAGCCTCGGCCATGTTCAGAGGAAAGATGAGCACAAAGGAAGTTGACGAGCAGATCCTTAACGTCCAGAACAAGAACTCATCCTACTTTGTTGAATGGATCCCAAACAACGTCAAGTCAAGCGTCTGCGACATTCCACCAACCGGAATCAAAATGGCTTCAACGTTTGTGGGAAACTCGACTTCGATCCAGGAAATGTTCAGGAGAGTGAGCGAGCAGTTCACTGCCATGTTCAGGAGAAAGGCTTTCCTTCATTGGTACACAGGAGAAGGAATGGACGAGATGGAGTTCACCGAGGCTGAGAGCAACATGAATGATCTCGTCGCTGAATACCAGCAATACCAAGATGCTACTGCTGATGAAGAAGGCGAGTACGAGGATGAAGAAGAAGAAGAAGTTTACGAATCTTGATTTCAAAACTCTCAGGATGGTTGAGAGGATACACAAACCCCAAAAGATTATGAAAAGAAGCTCTGTTTTTGCATCTCTCTCTTTTAATGCTTGAAAGCTCTGTTTCTCTATGCTTACTACTACTACTACTACTACTATATATACATATCAAGTTGAAATCTGAGAATTGTTATCAACAAAGATGTGTTCGTTTGCTATTAGTATTCTTAAAGAAGTCTTTTGAGTTTATTGTATTTGCCATTTTGGTTTGTTCTTTCCTTCTCTTCTCCATTGCCTTGTAATAATAATTCTTCAACATATCTCTGTTTTTAGCCTTTCTCTCATAAATAATAAAAAGAAGGATTCTAATACCATGATTATCAAGGGGTTCTTAAAAACCTCTTAAGCTAAGAAAAGTGATGAAAAACTAAGAAAAGTTAATATATGTCTCTTGTATAAGAGACTTTTTTTACCTTTTCTTAATTTTTTTTAGCCTAAGATTTTACTAAAAACCTACCAGTAATGATGCTCTGAATCCTTGTTGAGTTTCCATTTATAAAAATTATACACAACCAACACTTTGCCTTTTTTCCCAATGGAAACTAGCAATTTAGGTTGAATATTCGTATCAAAACCCTACATTATATGATATCTGCTACATATTATTAGCTAGGTAGAAAAACAAAAAGCCACCAACACATTAAAAAAAAAGAGCTACTTGAGTTGGTAAGAGGAGATGAATCTAGTATAGAGCTTCTTGGATCGAATCAAACCTAATCTTCTTTGTCTTGCTTGAGCAGCTGCTTGGACTTTACTACTTGCCGCCGCGGCCACTCTCTGAAAACCAACCATTGGGACGATTCGGTTACCTTCCTCTGCAGCTGGAAGGTTCAGATCAAAGCCACGTCGCTCCTCCATTCGCAATTCCACATCTCTCACGTTAACCGTACGATCAACAGAAATAAACGGTTGCAGATGACGTACAAGATAATGACCATCACTAATGGGCTGGGCTACTAATCCAACTTGAGCCCTAAGTAAACCCATCTCCGCCTGTAGTATATTCATTCACCAAATATGATCAAAAAATGGAAATAAAATTAAAAAAGCTTTACATTTTCCATTAAAAAAAAAGAAAAAAACACAGACCTCGAGAACTGAACAAGATGTGTTTGGCTGATAACAAGATGTCTGGTTTTTCGTACAAAATTCTTCTTCTAATCCTTTTTTAATCTGTCGTATTTTTTCATAAACACACACACAAACAAAACAATTAACAAACTCCAATATAATTAAACAAATACATAAACTATGCTACAAACAAGTCAACAGAGAAATAATACAATAAGACTTACGGTTTGAGAATTGGGTTTCTTGGCCTCACCGGTTAAGCAAGAAGAACTCGAATTACTTCCCATATCGCCGACCGATTTAATCAGCGGAGGATGGGAGTGAAGAGAAGAAGACCTTTTTTTAGTGCGACCCCATTTATGGAACAAAGGAAAAGAATCAGAAGAGAATACAACAGGATGCGAAAGTTCCAATAAGGCTGAAGAAACTTCGTATTCTATCATATCGAAAACTTCTTGTTTTTTGCCTATGCCGTCACCGTGATCTTCCATTGATACACTCTGTTTCTTCTTCTTCTTCAACATTGAAGGTTTTTTTGAGTAATGAATCGGAGAAGAGACACGAATGTTAAAAAATAAATTTTTGGGGAGGAGTCTCTTCTCTTTGGCTTGAAACGATTGGGTTTAATATGAGATAAATCTTTCTCTGAAGATTTTGTTTCGTTTTATTTATTTATTTATTTCATATATCGCATAGTGGTTGATGGTCTAGTTTTATGACACGTGTCAATACAGTTTTTAGTTTCTTATTTTTGATTCTCGGGTTTCTTGTTTTCGTCTTAATTACCTTTTTAGACATTTAATTTCTGTCATTTTTGGGGAAAAAGGAAGAAAAAAAAAATCGAATTAATCCCCAATTTGTTATTTTTAAAAATGCTAATTTTACAATATTTGTTCATGAAATATGCATATTTTCAATTAGTAAGCAAACCTGTTCGCTTGACTTGGACTATTATTTACAGACTTTACAGTCTACAAAAGAGAGCTCTTTCTCAATCTCTACATATCAAATCTAAAATTTAAGGAAACATAAATAAAATTAACTGGGAATACTTGACTTTCTCACTCTTTAACTTCCAAACATGAAGTCTTGGCGAACAAGCATATACACAAATAATATACACGACACATTCATGTGTTCTCTCATTTCTCCATTTACCTTGTAAACAAGATGTTTTCTTCTTCTCTGCCTCCAGAAGTTATTCTCAAAATCTTGTCTCATCTTCCGGGCAAAACACTACGAAAACTCCGATTAGTTTCAAAGCAGTTTAACTCCCTAGTCTCTGAACCCTACTTCCTCCGTCTCCACCACCGCCATGCTCTCATTGACTCCTTCTCTATCCTAACCGCCTTCACCGGTTCCCACGGATCCCAATCCGTATATCTCAAACTCTTCCTCTTCACCAAACCCAACGACGTTGCTCACGCCGTTCTCACCGCTCGCAAATCTTTTTTGATAGACTTCCTTCCAGAGACTTATCGCAACAATGAGCAAACACTAAAACCCATCACAAAACGTTTCCTTGGACAAAGAATCAGAGTCTTCTCTTCTAACCATCAGTTTATCTGTATCTTGATCGACAAGGAACATTTTCTTTTCGACCCTATTAACCAAAGACTCCTAGAAATACCACAATCTTCCACTTCTTCTTCTTCTTCTTCTTCTTCGCCTTTTGTTATCTCCTTCGGTTTTGTTTCCTCAACATTACAATACAAAATCATCAGATTTCTTCTTCCTTATCACCCAATCTGCAAATTCGAGATACTCACTCTCACAATCACAGGAGCAAATTACGATCATCATCTCAAGATCTCACAATGGAAACCACAAGAAATAGAATGCCCTTATCTTCTAAAACCGTACCCTCCATCTCACGCTGATGGGTTCCTTTACTGGATAACAAAACATGTTCCACAGATCGTGTCTTTCTCTTTAGAACAAGAGAAGTTCTCTGTTCTGCCTCCACCGCCATGTTTTGAAGACAACCCTGATCACCGTTTTAGCTTATGTGGAATCAGAGGGAATATCTGGGTAGCAGACTACAATTCTCTTGCACCAAACATGGAGCTTTGGATGATGAGTGGCTCAAATGGATCTGCTTGGACTAAAACGCACAGAATCGGGCTCGAAAAGACATTCACCCGTTACTATCCAACGTTTCCGATTAGGATTCATGATATACAATCTGATTGTGTGATCTTCCAGGTTCTGTTTCCAAGTGAGATACATATTTACTACACGAGCAAGAATGAAGTGGAGGACGTTGGGGGTTTATCATCCGGAGAGTTACAGCTTTGTCATTACAATGATGTCCTTTTGTCTCTCTAAATTGTTCTTGTGAGATTAATTCAAAGCTTTAATTTATCTTATAAAGAAAAAAATATAGGATTATTTTGTAGTTGTATCCTAATTTTAAGTAGAAATTTGAATTTTACACCAACTCTTTTAAATATTTGAAATGTATCTTATGTATGATTAAAAATGACTATTTTACCCTTAATTAATAATTAAAAGTTAATAATACAAAAACCAAAAAACAAAATTAATATATTTTACAATATTACTTTTAAAAAAATTATTAGAAATTAATTAATTATGTTCGAATTTTTAAAAAATATTTTAGATATTTATTATAGCTAATATTAATTAGTAACTACAACTGAAAATAATAATAATTTATTTTTAAGAATATCATTTAAAATAAATTACTGGTTATAAATTAAATATTCAAATATTTAAAATTTATTGTAGTAATTATAAATTAATTTATTATAGATAATAATAACAATAATTAAAATTAAATAAGAATTTATAATATTTATAAACTTTTGGATTTAAAATTTAATTCGAATTTTAAATAAGTATAATATAAAAATAATTTTCATAAATTTTCATTTAATAGAAAATTTTGAAAACGATATTTAAATGTTTTTAACTTTAATATACTAAATATCTAAACTAGTTAACCCTAAAAAATCAACAGTTTAAAAAAGTTGACAATGTAAAAAATCAATTAAATAAATAACAAGTCGACTCTTGTAATATAAGTCAACAACAACAAAAATTAAGTCAACATAAGTAAATAGACAAATCAATAGTTCAAAATATCAACCTTATTAATAAATCAACATTGAATAAAATAAGTCTATCAAATAATATATATATATATATATTATTGATTACATAATCTTAAAATACATATTTTTTAATAAAGTAAAATTTGGCCATCTTTTTTTTTTTATATATTTGTATTGACCAAAAAATTAATATAATTATTACTTTTAAAAAATATATTATAGAATTATAATTATTAGTTATTAAAAATATTAATACGTTTTTAATTTTAAAATTTAAAAGTATTTTTAAAACTAAAATTTTATTTTTTAATTAATTTATTTAATATTGGTGATTAAATAAAAGGGTATTTTCGTCCATTTTAATATTAAAAAGTATAGTTTTCAAATAACAATAATACATAGTGTAGTTGTCAAATTTTGTATAAAATTTAGTACATTTTTAAAAATGTCCCAAAAATATATTCATGTTTCCCCATGATTTTGAGCTTTTTTGCTTTCTTCTTTTAATAGATGACAAAAAGGTATACTCATTTATATGGAATCATGAAACATCTTTAAATACATGCATACTTGGAGAACCAGACATTTTTACACAAAACACACATAATTATTATAGATCAATACTACACAATCGAGTTAAATCACTTAACAAATTCATAACAAATATTCTAAAATGAAAGTACGTACATTAGTCTATATATTAAATAAAAAACGATTCAAAAGCCAAAAGCTTTCCAATGTAACAGCCAAACATTTTCGTTTTCTCTAGTGATATTAACAATCATAGGGGAAAAAACACGATTCAATACAAATTAATGGATACAAAGAGAAGATGCAGTCGTTGGCTTACCACGAATCTAATTTTCACCTAAAACAAACTTAACCTTGCACGTGTCATCATCTCAAAGTGTTAAACTTTTCGACTTTTTTTTTTGTTTGTTTTCTTTTGTAATAAGAAGAAGAAGAAAAAAAGAGTAACTTTTTTGCTGGGTGGGTGCGTTACCAATTTGCCCACTCCACATCCAAAAAAAAAACAGTGTAATAAAAATCACCTGATCGTCCAACATAATCAATCCGGTCCTAGAAAAGAGACAGATCTGGTCCTAAAGGTTTCGATTACACCGTTTCTATTTTTGGTAAGAAAAGTGAAAAAGAAACGAATCGAAAAAGATGAAGGCGGCGAAGAGGCCGATCCACGCCGTGACGACATGGGTTCGCCGGCAACCACCAAAGGTTAAAGCTTTTCTCGGTGTTGTTTCTGCCATGACTGCTCTGGTTTTGTTGAGGATGATTGTTCATGACCACGACAATCTCTTTGTCGCTGCTGAGGCTGTTCATGCCCTTGGTATCTCCGTCCTTATCTACAAACTCACCAAGGAGAAGACTTGTGCTGGTAATCATCGATTTCTATGCTAAAGTTTCGAAATTTCTTGATTTTGATATTTTGGATTTCTTGGTTTAGGCTTTGATTAGGACGAGTGATTCTGAAATTGATTTCAAGTTAGGGTTTGTCTGATACATCTTCCCAGGAAGATATTAAATTAGATTGCGTGTAGATGTATATGAGATTTAAATTGTTTGATGAACACCTGATTAGATTAATTTTGTAATTTTGTAATCTTTATTTGTGTGTGTTTGCAGGATTATCTTTGAAGTCACAAGAGCTAACGGCTCTGTTTTTGGCGGTGAGACTGTATTGTAGTTTTGTGATGGAGTTTGATATTCACACGTTGCTTGATTCGGCTACACTGGTGACTACTCTTTTTGTTATCTATATGATCCGTTTTACTCTCAAAGCTAGTTACATGGAAGACAAAGACAATTTTGCTATCTACTACGTCGTAAGTTGTTGATCCTTTATTGTTCCTTTCTTGGAATTTCATTCATATTGATTCTTTTTTCTTTTTGTTTGAAATCTCAACTTGTGTTAAAGTAGTAACATTTTGTTTCCATATTAGATCACCTAAAGAGCTACTTTTTTCTTACTGAACACAGACCATTTTGCTAGATTTCCTTTGCTACTATCAGTTTGAGTTTCATTGTAGTGACATGTTGTCTAGTTGTGAAGAGTGTATTTTGTCCATTTATATTTCTGAGCTTTTTTTCTTATATATACATGGCTGCAGGTTATTCCATGTGTTGTTCTATCTGTTCTCGTTCACCCATCAACACATCACCATATACTTAACAAGATTTCTTGGGCCTTCTGCGTTTACCTTGAAGCTGTTTCAGTTCTTCCTCAACTTAGAGTCATGCAAAACACTAAGGTACATTGAAAAGCTTGAAACCAGTCTCTATCCTTCACCAGCTTAAACTAGTAACGCATGTCTTGTCTCAGATCGTGGAGCCATTCACAGCACATTATGTATTTGCTTTGGGGATAGCTAGGTTCTTGAGTTGTGCACACTGGGTCCTTCAGGTTTTTTTTTCTTTGTTTTTTTTTGGCCTCTTAACTATAAAGCTTCATACATATATACGCAGTTTTGCAAACTTTATTGTAATATACAATAATAAGAAGAAATTGACGATGGTATAGGTTTTGGACACTCGAGGGCGGTTATTGACTGCTTTAGGATATGGTTTCTGGCCTATGATGGTCCTCCTCTCTGAAATCGTCCAAACCTTTATTCTCGCCGACTTCTGCTACTACTATGTGAAGAGGTAAATCATAAAATGTTTTTGCTTGCTTGTTATTGCGTATATGATGGATGATCTAATGACATTGTTCTAGTGTTCTAAGATTCGATTTTTTTTTGGTGTTGGGCAGTTTAATGGGTGGTCAGCTCGTTCTTCGTCTCCCTTCAGGTGTTGTGTAAAATTTGATGGAAAAGAGAGAAGAATAAGAAGAAGAAGAAGAAGAAGAAGAAGATACTGTGGAGTAATGCTCCATATGGCGCATGCTAATCGTTTTGAGTCTTCTCTACTCTCTTTTTTGTTTTCTCTTCCCTTTATGTATTTTTTTTTTCTTTTGTTGGAGGACTTGTAAAGAAAAAAAGAGAATTGATTAGAGATTTTGACATATTAATTTAAAGTTAGCCTCTCAGCTTTTAATTTATTACATAAATTGTTGGCAGTAGCAACCAAATATAATGCACTGATGCTTCAAACAACTTAGAAAAATTAAAATTTAAGTTGCTTGTTTTATGGGTATTTTACAAAAAATTAAATATAGTATGTTAGAACAAAAAAAAAGAGACCTTAACTTTAGAAAATATAATATATATATTTGGATATACATTTATATTTGATCATTTAATTAACTCATCGTAAATATACTGATCAAATTTGATTTAATAGTTTTAAAGGTTACATATTTACAATAAGAGTTTTGTGCATATAAACCTTTCAAGTCTGGTTTTGCAACTCTACTCTCTATATCCAAAAAAATGCAAAACAATCATACTAAGTCAAGAATAACACGAAATACAGCCCTTATACCAGATAAAAATTTGTTTTTTAAATGATTTTAGGGTCATATATATTTATTTTTTGAAAATTCTAAAGATATATTTGAAATTCTAGTCACGAAGGCTTCAATCTGATATATTATTTCTAAATTTTTTTAGAATATGATAATAGTGAAAACGGTTATAGTGCGTATTTATTTTTGACTTTGTATGATTAACTTGCATTTTCTTGGATTTGAGAGTAAAATTGTAAAAAATGGCGACTTAAAGGGTTTATTTGCACAAAATTCCTAATTATAAAGGAACTCCAGAAAATAGTGTTAAAAAAAACAAGAAAAATAATGAGGAAGTACCCAAAGTTATATTATTCTTTAAGAAAATGATAAATATAATTATTTAATATCAGTAACTTTAAATAATTACTAGATATATGGTAAAGTTTATGTAGTACTACTTTTGTTTTTGGAATTTGGACAAACAATTGTAGTACCTAATTACTAGATATATTTTTTTGTATGTTTATGGAGTCCTTAATCTATGAAATTTGAAAATATAATCGACGCAATTATTCAGCAAACTATGTGAAGGAATACATTGGAGCAGTTTAACTGTTATTCTCGGTTGGAGAGAGTTGGGATACGTAGATTTGTATCGATGGCACATGACAGATTTATGCTGCATTTGACATCACAACTAAAGGAATTCTGCAGGTACGTAGATTTGTATTGTGCTTTAGTTATTTTAGTTGTTATCTTCTTATCTTCCGCTATGTCTGTTTTGCTTACATAATGTTTTTTTTATTGTATTGAAAGGCAAATGCTTCATGTTACCATAGGAAGCCGTAAAGGGTCAGTATCACTAATAAATTGTATCACTAACAATAAATTGTCACTCAGCCAATAATAATTCGTTTTTGGTTATATTCAATGCAGCCTATTGGAAGATGTCCTAGAATTGTGAACAAAAAAGGAAGCAGTAAATAACTTGAGGAAGAGATGTTGGCAAAGATATCCAAGTTATAAGCTAGAACTATGAACAAGAAGGTAATATTCATCTAGTTTCACTGAGGTTTATTTGTACTTCAGAAATAGAAAACTAAATAAAATTATGATGCTTTCTGTAATTTATTACAGATTTTGGCAGCTCTAGCTTTGCGTCCACTGCACCCATCAAAGAAGTACACCACACATCTGCCACATTTTCAGGTAAATACCCTTTATCAGAGATAAACATTTTCAGAGCATCACTTTATAACAGATTTATAGCTTAACATGAATCTTGTTCTATTAATCTACAATGATCTCATTTCTTATTGTTGCAGAAAATTTCAACTTCAAACAATGGCAAGAGATATCCTAAGGCAAAAGCTAGATGATCCAATTATATGTCCCAATGATGGAAAAAAATCCTCTTCTTGCAACTATATTTTCCAATCACAGCCTTCTAAGAGCAAGAAATAAGTAAAAGTTAACAAGTAAGCCGTTTCCCAACAATTTCGAGTACACAAAGTACAACATCAAGACAGCATGCGCCAGGTTCTTTATCGCTTTTTTGGGCGATGGTATTGCAGTTAAGTGAGATGAAGGGCCGTTTCAATATGCTTTTTTCTCTTAACAGTAATCTTGCAGATGCGAATATCGGAGATAAGATGACTGAACAGATTGAAAACAAGGAAACGTTCCTCGTGCTTGTACACTCAAACCAGTACTGCTAGAAAGATTAGCTAGTCTGCTGAAGAATCCATCTGTACTTTGGCCAAAACAACAAAAAGGTAGGTGACACTCTTAACAACCATTCTGATACCCAGGTATGGTATAACCAAGTTATATATACAGTACATCAACCACATAAACGACTAAACCCAACAATTGCTAAGGAAGACTTTGCAAGAAATTTATACGCTCATAACTTGGTTAAAAAGTAAGTTTGAATCTATGTTAATAATCATCTGCATTTCTTCTATATCATGAAACTACCAACTACATAAATGATTCGGATGTTACTATTCGTACTGAAAAAAAAAAAAAACAAGTTTTCAGGCAGAACAGAGATAGACTATGCTTTATATTGGTTCAGAATGTCACATATCTCTTTGGTGTAATAGTTCTTTATTCTCGATTTTTTCTTTTCTACAAACGAAATACATACGTACAATAATATTAAAGAGCAAAATGATGATTGATGGTGCAGTTGTTTGTTCTTTTCTCTCTATGGCTATGTATTAGCTCTTCATTTGTGAGTTGTTTTTTAACTGAAAAGGTCTCTCAAGTCTGAGCTTATCCAAATTTGTATTTTATTATCGATTCGACTCTTTTGGCGGCGGCTACAGCTGGATTCTGTAATCATCTCACCTAATATTCCACCATTTTCTTTTCTTTTTTTGTATAATTTACCAAAGATATTACACTTTCATGTATAATAATGTCATTGAATATTAATCTAGATATTGTTGGCTGAAGATGTAGTTTGATGCCAATCCAAACATAATACACATGTGGACAATCGTTTGGTCGGTGGGATTCTCTATGTCTGCTTTAAGGGATCCAAGTTTCTGACTTAAAACTCCATAGAGTTCGTCTTACTACTGTTTCGTCTGTCGAACAAGCGATAAAGAGGCAAAATATGTAACAAAATAACGTCAAAATCCAATTTCTTCAATTTGTTTATATTTCCATCTTGATCATATCTATTTGTATTAATGATTGTTTTAAGAATCATAACCAAAATCACATTAGTTTTGGTAAAAACACTACTATACTACGTACTACGACACATGCATATGATTAAAGTTGAATCTGGATCATGACACAGCAACTATATGATTTTGAATCACTAGATTACAATCTCTGAACCTTCAAAATCACATTATAAAACAAAAATTACATTAACTTCGTACAATATCAATCATCGAATAGTAGTAATTCGAGCAATATCAATCAAACAGTTTATATACTAGTATAAAAATATCTATTTGTAAATGGATTTTGGGCTTGAAAACATAATAAAGTAAAGAGAGATCAAAAGGTTGGCGTTTAGCTATATAACAGCTATTAATTTGTGAATAAACAACACTTCACAGCTGTCGTTAGAATCTCACTTCTCTTTCACTTTTTTCTTAATTAACCATACGGCATACGGTATATCCATTTTTTGGGTTTTATTCGTTTTAAGAAAACGAATGTGCTTATTGAAAACAGTAAAATTAATAATCATCGTACACTTCAAACAGTCCAAGTTTGGGTGCAAATAGAGATTTGACGTAACGTAGACGAGTTCAATGAAACGACTAGTACCATATGTGTGTTATAACTGAAGTGACATTTTCATGCATAAGAAAAGATGTTTTCTATGTAAAAGTGTGTTGCGTGTGTGCGTGTGGATGGGATTGGAGTTCGATAAGGTTGGTGAAAAAGCCAAACACTGAAGACAGGCGACCAGTGAGGACAGTGACCTCTCTCTTTCTTTACCTTTTTCCCAGTTTCTCTGTTATTTCGAAATTTCAATTTCTAACTTGTCACATTTTTACATCTACTCTACGTCTCTCTACCTATGTCTCAATCATTTATTATTTTCTATTGATATTTTATTTTTATTTTATGTCGACGCTAATTAGTTGAAATGCAGAATGAAAAGCAAGTGATCTTTATAAAATGAGGTATATTTTCCAGCTACGTACAGCAATACACGAAGTTGTGCTCGCTTTATTTTCAGTATAGCGTTTGTTTTGGACCGCATCATTCATGTATATAAATATATTGGTCCTAAAGATTCCTTTAAGAAAGCAAAAACAAAAAAAAAGTAGTCCACTGGTTAAGTGCATGCAACAATCTGAAACCATGTATTCTAAACCTTTTTGTTGTTTTAGAGATTTGTTTGGCCTTAAATTACACTGAGAATATAATTCAAGCGTAGTGGCCAATTGCATCTGTAAGACTGCAACATCATGTCGTGTGTCTCCAAAGCCTTTTTGTTTTTCTTATATATATATATGTCGTCGATTCCTCCAAAACCTATGCATGGTCTTTGATTAAATGAATAACAACGTCGAATCATACAATAGAAATGAACTATATATATTCTAAACTCTATTGGTGTTGGAGAATAGACTTAGTCCATCAGCTCTGGTTCCCGATGGTATTGTATGTGCTAAAGTATGTAAAATGAAAAATAAAAAGATACAGAGAGTGGACCATAAGAAAATGGTATTGTTGAGACAAAACATAAACGATTGATCTAGAAATCGATTTTATATTTTTTTTAATTAAAATTGAAAAGAGGAAAATAATGTAAAGACGAAAAGGTGGGTCATAAGAAGGAAGGAAGTGCAAGCTGTGAATGATGAAGTTAAAAGAGTATTTCATAAAAAGGACCACTCACGTCTACATCTTCTCATCCTTCTTGTCTGATCAACCTCATCAAAACTCTTCTAACTCATTATTTTCCATCATTAGCTAATTCCTTACAATTACTGTGTCCTTCCACTTTCTTTCATTTTGCTTCTATTTTTGTTTCTTAATTTCCACAAACTATTGTTAGTAGGATTCCCCAAAATCCTAATTACTTTTGGACTTCTAAAAATATATATGTGGTGTTCTCTCAAATGTCAACAAATTTTGTTATATGATTCACCAAAACAAATTATTACTCAACGATTTTTAAGCTTAGCAAAAAAAAAAAAAAACAAAAAAAAAACTAAATAGTTTTCCACGTTTTTCATAAATCAGTGAATCATATACATCGTAAAAAGAGGAACATCTATATTACTACTTCAAACCCGGAAGTATATTGTATATACAGTCAACGTATTAGTTTATGAATTTTATGTTATGTATAATTTAACAATCTCTAACGTAAAAATACTCACTAAGGAAGTCAAAAAAAGTCAAAATCGTTCGAATAAATTATTGTCGTTGTATTAAGATTCGTTGGTAGAACTAAAACCAAAACTTACCAAACCCAAGCGAAACCAATAATAGAGTTTAGGTTTATGTACATCAAAAGAAGTCTAATAATAATACATATATCTAACGAGTATCACATAAAACATTGGATATTATTTAATCACAGATTCGCTGGAAAAGAAAATATACCGAATGCATTTAGATCAAATTAAAACCAAAGACCACTAATAATAATAACATCCTTATATATTTGTTTTCCCCACCACAATATTCTCGACTCCGCGTACGCAAAACTCTTATACGCACCAACCGACCCATTCGAGAAAAAAGAGAAATTATATCTTATATGCTATATTGCTATTAACCATGTTCGTCATACTATCAATAGTAAAAAAGAATTTAATGGAAAATATTTGTTTCGACTTGAATAATTATGTATGTGTATTTTTTTAGGTTGTGATCATCATCATCATCATCAACTCTTGGAAAGTGCTTACTTGCTATCATAATTATATTCTGAAACTTCAGAAAGCAATTATTTTTCCTGAAAACTATTTAGTAATAAGAAATAATGAAAATGAAAAAGAATAGTCTAGACCGAACAATGGGGTCGGTTGCCCATCCTAAGGAGGGCTATAAATAGAAGCCTCCAAGTTCTCATCTCGACACAACAACTACAAACACACACATTCATCTTGAGCTCTAAGTTCTCATATTCTCTCCTTCGAGAATTATGGCTATCTCAAAAGCCCTTATTGCTTCTCTACTCATATCTCTTCTTGTTCTTCAACTCGTTCAGGCTGATTTGGTACGTCTTGTTTCATCACAAAATTTACTCGGTATGATATTTTTTTCTTTTTTAGAAACATATTTCTCACATGTTATACGACAATATATTCTTGCAGGAAACCTCACAGAAAAAAGATGGTTACGCCAAGAAGATCGGTAATTACATTTATTCCACATATTGTCCATATAGATCAAAATTTATATCAAAGAAGTTACTAACGTATGATTTTGAGTAGTAAAATGAATAAAAATCTGTGTGCGTGTGTAATTTATTTGTGTATAGATTGTGGAGGAGCGTGTCAAGCACGGTGCAGGCTATCAAGGAGGCCGAGGCTGTGTCACAGAGCGTGCGGGACTTGCTGCTCCAGGTGCAACTGTGTACCACCTGGCACGTACGGAAACTACGACAAGTGCTTGTGCTACGCTAGCCTCACCACCCACGGTGGCCGCCGCAAGTGCCCATAAGGAACTGGACAACTTAAAGCTCTTCGGATAATGCGACTATATATGTCGTTTTGTTAGTCTTTGTTATGTGGATCGAATAATAAACGAGAACCGTACGTTGTCGTTGTGAGTGAGTGTACTGTATTTATAATTGGTCTATCTTTGGTGTAAGTGTTTTTTTTCCTGGTTTTTTGAGTTTTTTTTTTTTTATTATTTTGTATATCGATTCGTGCAATAATCTCATTGTATTATTTCATGTTGCAATAAAATTATGTTATTTTTGTTGAGTTATTTGTTTATACCATCCTTTTTCTTCTTCTATGTTAAGCGGGTTTTTGGAAAGATATGGATACAAGATGATAACTATTTGGACAGCTTGTGTATTGATGTTATTTATTTATCTGTAAAAGGGTCTTAGTTTGGTTTATTTTGCTACATCATATCATTTTATCACGACCATGTAAAAATAATGCTTCGTTTCGTTCTACATCATATATATATACATGAGTTTGGGTTTAGAGAAGAGCGATATATAGAGTAAACTAAATACATGTACTCCAGAATCAGAATGTAATTTCATTTGTGGAGGACCGAGAGCATATGTCATATTATTAATCATTTTAGATGGAATTTTGGTTAAAGATTTTTGGTTAACATCGATATTGTTTATTCGACAGCTACTGTATATATATTCCAAAACTTGGGCCACACATAGATGTGAAGAGGTGCATATTTAAGTTCGTAAAAAAAAAAAAAAAAGAAGGAAACAGATAAAGCCCCCGGCGAGGATCGAACTCGCGGCCTTTCGCTTACGAAGCGAACGCAATACCACTATGCTACGGAGGCCTTCGAATATTGGAAGAATCCTAATGTTATTTATTTATTAATAATTAATAATCTCATAAGAAATGGGAGACAGCATACAGACACGTTTGGTTGGCTGATGTTAGTGAAATTCCCTTGTCACGTTTTATACGTTTTTGTTCGTTTAGTATCTCTATCAGACTGAGTAAGTTACTAGCTTATATAATATGAGTGAAGCTTGAGGATTTAGTTATAACTCTGGCGGCATGTTGCGGCTTTAATTCCGCCATGAACGTACGAAAATTACGACAACCTGTCATGGCTTCGCCGACGTGACTGGATGGTGGAGGTCATCGGGAGTACCTTTGGAAATAATATCAGTTTTATCATCCCTCAGAAAAAGAGTACCAATATTTTTCGAGACCATTATATTCTAAAATTCATAAGTTTATCATATTTTCTTGGACAATTGTTCGTTATATGGGCCTAGTTTGACACATGTGTGGATCTTATTGTTGGAACCAAATTTTTGATTTGGGATACATTATTTTAGGTACACACACTTACACTTAAAACTCAACTCGTATTTTATGGGCCTTTTTCCCAAAATCGCATTCTGCTAACTTATAAAAAGTCGAAAAGTAAACTTGAAGATTTTTGAAAAAAAGAATCGCAAAAAGAGAAGAAAAAAAATCTTTTTGGTAGACAGTAGAGATGAAAAGAGAGACAGTTGGCAGAAGAAGAAGAAGAAGTCACCAGACTTGTCGATTTCAGTGTGTGAGAGATGACTGATGGTGAAATGATAAATCTTACACTCTCTAGTAAGTTCGATCTCAACATCACACTTCAATACCAAAAGTCTAAAAATTCTAGTTAGGAGGAGAGGAAAAAAGCCATGCCGTTTCTTATTGGACGAGACAACAGATACAATCATTAAAGAAGAAGAAGAGATTTTATGTAAAAAACGCCGTGACATTCTCTTGTATTTATGGAAGACAGCCAGACGTTTGCGTTATGGAGACCCGGTTCTCCAACTTTTACAATAATAATTTTCTGAAGTAATTGTACTTTTGGTCCTTTCGTATGGAAAATAAATAGCCACCTAGCTAGTTTCAATAGTAGTGTAGTTAGTGTGTGTATTAACATAAGGGAATTTAGATGTCCAACAAACCCAATTTAACTGGTTAGCCGTTTAGCCACTTATAATTAATTAATTAATTAACTGGTCATCTGATCAAACCACATCTATCTCAATTAAAACCTTTTTACTAATAAATGAAAACGTTACAAAAATTTCGAAAAAGTCAAATTGATTAGAGTATTGTTTACTTACTGACTTTTTTTTTCTACATATACTCCAATTTCAATTGGTTGTTGTTAGGCACAGAAACAAAAGAAAGAAAATATCCAAAGGGGGTGGTACGGGATTATATATCATACCATAGGAAACCCATGGAGATCTCTATTATAATAATAATAATACTTTTGTTGTACCATTTTATTTATTTTGTCAGCTCTGGGTGCTGACGTGTCTGACACATTGATCTTCTCATAGTTTCACTACGTGTCACTACAATCGGACGGCTCTCGTTACCTCCCTTAACTACATACCGTTGGATCACCACTGATGAAGATAATAACCAAACAGAGCGTTTTTTTATTTGGGGTTTGTGTCACATTTGTGATTTGTGACATTTATAAAAAAGCGAAACGACAGCTTCGGTGTATCCGTCTTCACTATACAGTATACACAGAGCTTGAGCTATTACAAATATTGGAAGAAGAAAGGTTTTGGACTGATCTCTTTTACATTTTCTATGCATTCTGTGTTCTTTTTATTTTCCGATATTATTCGTACACTCTGTACGTTTTTTTTCTTTATTTTTAATAATTTGATTCTTCTTCTGTCAGTTACATACATATCAATGTTTGATTTGAATGAAGAACAGTGACTCCATTAATTAATGAACTTTTCTTCTTCTTTATTTTCTTACTAATTACAAAATACCTTTTTTATTTTTATTTTATTCACGGGTTGTAATGTACAAACTTTAATAAAAATCCCTTCTTTCCTTTTTTTTTTTTTGTGTGTTGGTTTTGGGGTTATTCATCTTTAAGTCTTCTTTGGTTGCCTTTTTGTCTCATCTCTTTATTTTCTCACGAAGAACCTGATTCTTCGAGACACGAGAAACGATTTTACAACTTTTCTCTCTTTAACGTCCTTCTTTTCTTTTTTACTTTTCTCTCTTTTCTTCTTTCTGTAATCTTAAAATCCAAGTGTGTGAATTCTCCTTTTGTTTTTGCAGAGATGTGGAACAAGTGAGTTTTTTTCTCTTTTTGGTTCTTCTCTCTCAATCTGAGTCTGAGCTTCTTTCTTCTTTCTTCTTCTTCACCTCTGGTTTGAGTGGAGATAGTAATTGGAAAAGAAGAATGGAAATGGGTCGGCGAGATGTGATGAGACGTGGAGGAACCACTAAACAATCTGGTAAAAAGATTTGATCTTTTGTGTTTCAGAAACCAACAAAAGAAGAAATAAAAATCCAATCTTTTTTTCTTTTGTCGTCGTTCGTTTGCTCTGTTTTTGTTTCTTTTTTTTTTGTCTCACTTTTTGTTTCGTTTAGGATCTGCAAAATCGAAGAAAGGAATGTTGAAGAAACTTGGACTAGCTGATGAAAAACCGAAACGAGAGATGATGAGCTATGACTACAAGTTTCTTCACCATCATCATCATCATCATCATCCTTCAGATTTAGAAAACGAGGTTTCTAGGAAGAAATCTAAGCTTCCAAAAAAGGTAACTTCTACATCAATACGCAAACTTAATTTTCTCCACCACTATCCCTTAATTTCCTCATCTTTTTTCTCAAGTCTTTTCACATTTAATTCTCTCTCTCTCTCTCTCTCATCCTTCAGAATTTGAAAGACACAACTAATGGTGTGGATCATGCCTCTGTACCACGTAAGCTTCGTTCAGGTGCGTTGTTCGTGACCCCAATGATATTAAAAATAAAACTCGAATGTTTTGTTTTTTTTAATATGTTTTGGTGTGTTTCCTTTAATGACCTGCTAATGTGTCAGTAAAAAAACTCAGTTGCTTGCTGAGTAGTTGGGAAGATTATGGTATTTTTCTTTTGGCTTTTGAATCTCTGTGTGGAGATTTTGGATTATTTTTCAAGCAAACTCTTTTGCTTTTTTTCTCCCCATTCTCACTTTCTTATTATGGACGCAAGATTCTGCTTACATGTCTTTCTTTTTTTCTTACTTTATAAAAAATCAAAAGCCATCAATCTTCAACTTATATTATTATTATTTCTCTATCTTCTTTCTTTTCTTTTTAGCTTGTCTTTGTCAATTGTGGAACGAACTCTCCTTTTTTCATCTCGAATTCTAAACCTGCAATTGCTTTTTTTGTTGTTTTTGCTAACTTTTTTTTTTTACCACTTTTTATCTGTTTTTGTGCACTTTTCAATTGCAGCCATGAAGAAGCGGAATCTTGAATCTGTGTCTAAGTTCTCATCCTCTGTCTCAAAGAGACTTAACCGGTCCAAAACCGGTAGTGACTCTTTTAACAAGGAGTTAGTAAAGAAGGAGAATCAAGAAATGGTTGGTTTGGTTGTTTTTTTATTTAATGACTTCAAATTTTTTGTAAGACATATATAGAAGAACAGTTTACTAAAAGATGGAGTTATGGTTTTTTTGTTTTTTTTGTTTTTTGTTAGGAAGCAAAAGCTATTGTTCATGAGTCAATGATGATTTCGAAAGATGAGAAAGAGGTTGCAGAGACTTTATACGGTTTAGCTGGAATGTTTACTCAGACTGTCTCTTTTGATAGGAAGACTAGTGATCATGAGAAAGAAACTACCAAACTTGACTCTATTTTGGTTGTGGAAGCTAACCATGCAAAAGCTGAATCGCGTGAACCGGCGGTTTCAGTTTTCTCTTCAGCCAAAACTAAGCAGACTGATGATGCAAAGCCATTGGTGCAATCTGATAACCAGCTCAGCCTAACAGGGTTTGTAGCCAGTTCCTGTTTAAGTTTTGTCTTTTGATTTTGTCAGTTATTTAATCTGATTGGTGGTTTAAATTGTCTAACTATACAGAATGTTTGATTTTATTGATAGATTGAAGCAAATCAACTCAGTGAATGTGACTGATGAACCTGTAAGCGCTCTGATTCCTTCTGAATTTTACTTTCTTAGTTTAGATGCATATTGTTTTACTGATTACACTGGAAATTCCTAGGCAAAAACCCTTGAAACAAAGGTTGCAACTAGTGACATGGACTATAAGAGCAACGGTAATAAAAACTACTTCTGTATCACATATACAGCTTGACTTAAGAACCGTTTTCCTAATACTGACTTTTGTGTTTCTAAAAGGTCTTGCACTGTGGCCTGGCTTATCTTCAACTGTTCATTCAGGAGCTCAAGTTCTTTCAAAGTAACTCCTAACCTTTTAACTTGTATGTTAATTTGTTCTTGTGCTGCTCGGTTTCTTCTCTTACACATGCGGATTGTTCTTTCTTAAATCAGACCATCATCTACAAAGCTTCCACCCTGGATGGGTCAAGCTGCTTCTCCTTCCAGGACTGCTTCACTCTTGAGTGAACCGTTAAGAGTCCAGCCAAGAAAGTTGAAGAAATGTGCCTCTCACATTTACATTTCCCGTCTCATTAAAGTATTACAGACCAGTAAGAGTAGTCCCACGACACTTAACCAAATTGAGCAAAGATCTTCAGAAATGTCAGAACGCAGACTCCCTGATCCGGTGAAAACCATTAGTGACTTTAAAACAAAGGAATCTCCAGCGAAGAGGTACCAAACCCCGCATCTACGTCTTCTCGAGCTACACAGGACACATAACCCGAAACCTATGCCAGAAGACAGGACTCAGCTTGCTCTTGATCTCAATGGTCCACAAACTTCACAGAAACAGGTAATATACATCACTGTTCTTATTTGGTTAATTCGTTTTCTCTCTGATTCTTATATCTCTTTTCTCTTTTAACGACAGAGCTATGATTTCCTAACTCTAGCATCTTCTGGAGCAACACAATCTCATTTCCCACTTCCAAACTCATTTCCACAGTATCTCTCAGCAGCTTACAATAGCCAACTCTCACCTGCAACTTCTAGCCATCAGGTTTTTTATGCTCTGACCCAAATTTTCTCCTCACTAGCAAAGATTAATGGATTCAGTAACATAATGTAACACAAGAACATTATTTCATCTTGTAAGGTGCAGCAGCTTTCTCCATATCTAGCCAGTCGATTCCAAATCGCTTACAATGCAAACCAGCAGCAGCAGCAACAGCTTCAAAAAAAGCTATGGGCTGCTCAGTACAGACCAACAAATGGGAACACCATGCAATCAAACCAATACAGTAAACCAAACCTCTCCTTGAACCTGACTAGTATTCAACAGCCTCTCCAAGTTGCTTCCTCCCCAAGGTACACCAACAATGTATCTCAACAGCAACATCGTCTCATGGCTGCTGCTGCAGCAATGTCAATAAGCCATCACCATAACAACAATCCTTCACGAACGATGATGAACAGACAAGAACACCATATGCCACATATCTATGAGGATACAAGGACACAATTGCAACTACTCTGCAACGAGCAGTCGTGAAGCTGCCTTGCTTTGCTTTATAGTTAAATAGTTCTCTTAAGGCTTTTACAGATGGTTTGAGTGGAAAAAAAAACAGAGATCTGTTTCTGTCCTCGCCGGAATCGGATATACAAGGATTGTCAGTGAGAGATGACTGAATCCCACTCGTTTGAGAAAAAAACATTTATTGTCTTTTTATGTAAATGATCCAGGAGTTGTCTAAAGGAGCAAATTTTCTCAAAGTGAGACAGTCACTCTTTTTTTTTTTTTTAAATCTCTTTAAGGTGCAGCATTAAGTTTCTTGTGCCGCAAGCGAATTGCTCCAATTACTTATGTAGTAAAAATCTGATTAATTTTTTTTGGCGGTTTTAGAGAATGTTACATGATATTTGAACGAGGCTAATTACATTGAAAAGGAAAAAAATGAATAAACCAGAGTGTCTTTTCATATGATCAGTTTAATAATATTTTTATTAACAATATATATTACAAAAGAGTGAAAGACTATTACATATTAAAACAATTAGAAAGAAAGAGTATTATGAAGAAGTGGAGATGAAGAAAATAATATGCTTTGCGTCCGTCTCTCACTCAATCCCAAAGTCACATAGCTATAAGCAGCAAGCTTATGTAACTCTTTGCTTCACCACAGGGAGCTAGGCACTAACTAGACATATATGATGGAGACGGTGAAGAGAGCAGAGATAGACACAACGGCACCTTTTAAAACTGTCAAAGAAGCTGTTGCTTTGTTTGGCGAAAGAGTCTTAGCGAGCCAAGTCTATTCCAACCATCTCAAAGTGGCAAGTCTCTTTTAATAAATTCGAGTTAATTAATGACCATATGATTATTTTGATTTCGAGATTGATTCTTGTAGTAACCATTAGTAAATGTTCAGATGCAGGATGAGAAATGGGAAGAAGATTCATCAGGGATTGAGACAGAGCTTGAAGAGACAAAACATGATCTCAAAAGGGCAAAGGAAGAAAGCAAAAAAATGAGAAACTCATTGTTTTGTCTTAAGGAAGAGCTTGAACGTACAAAACAAGAGCTCCAGAAGCTGAGAATAGATCCTGAGGAACCAGATAAGAGAAGAAACGACGAGACTGTATTCAAAACCAAATTCGAAGTGTTAGTTCCTCGGGCTGATGATGAACCAATCAGAAGTCCGACGTTGAGATCGATGAGTGAGAAGAGATACGTGAAATTCGCAAACCCGAATGGTAATAATGGTTCTGTGGTGGAGATGTTTCTTGAGAGACATCCTTCGATGAAAAAGAAGGAGAAGAAGACGAAGACAAAGAAGAAGAAGAAGAGTTTGATCCCTTTGTTTATTGGTGGGATATTTTCTAAGAAAAAGGTTTTGCAATGAAACAGTTTGGTTTCTAAAAAATTTTTTTGCTATGTTTGTGTGTGTGTGTTTTTTTCCATAATAATGTTACATACATGTATTCATGTATGTATGGCTTCGTAAATACTTCTTATATTTTCCTTAATTTTTGAAATAAAAATTAAACTTTTGTATCTCGAGTAGAAATTTACCTAGAAAACAGTTGTCAAAAATGTGAATAATTATATAAATGACCATAATATAAGTTTCTCAAAATCACAAAGAACTCAAATAAAAAAGCAAAGCCTCGAATCAAATGTTCAAGCAAAAGGTAGAAATAGAAGAGAGTGAGTTTTGAGTGTTGAGATGTTGATCACTAAACGTAAAAGCAGTCATGATCTACATGACGAGCTTCATGATGATTTCCATCACAAGACATAGCCGACGACTTGTTGAAGAACTCTATGCAATCTGCGATAGCTTCACTGTAGTGTACTTGAGACGAATAGTAAGAACTACTACAAGAAATCTTAGGCGGATCAAACCTCTCTCTGTCGCGGGAATGACCAGCGGAGGTCTTACGCCGGTGAGAGGAGGAAGGGATAGTGAGATCGATGAGCCTCATGAGAAACTTACGTAGCCCGTGGAAGAGCTTCATGAAAGATAAATCGAACTGGTCGTTTAAAATGAATTTGGATCTTGAGAAGGGTTTGTCTATATAAATGGTGAAAAGCTCGTGTACACATAGTTTTGATATATGGTTTAATATACAACTTAGCATTGAATTTTGCTATAAAATAAAAAAATTCCCGAAGTAAAATTTGTAATGATTCGTCAAGGAGGAAAAACAGGAAGAAGAGTGTTTCAATGATTAAACCACCAAAGAATTTCTTGAGATGTGTTTTATCCTATGAACATATGTAGGCCCCCATCTTAAGTATCTTAATTAGCTCTTTATCCGATTTTATTTGTCTCCAAATTATTGTTTTAAATGATTCAGGAGTGAACAAAAATAAAGATTAACAAATGGTTCCGACCAGTGTCATAGACTCTCATATATAGCTAGAATTAATTACCGCTACGCATTGCTCAGATAACAAAAACATATTTTGCATATGCATAAGTTTTTTTGAGCCCATTATATGCAACCTTTGATTTTCATTAATTAGTTAGTGCAGAGGCTATAACTTATATAAATCAAGTGTTTTCTTGTAAATGTGGCTGCATTACAAATGTATTGATATTGTCTTGAAGTTTTGTACAACATCAGCAACACTTAGTAGTATACCAACGTAATATACCACATAGTAGTGACATAGACTTGGACTGAAATTTTCTTTAGATTTAAAGCTTTCAATGAAAAGAGGAGAAACAAAGGAAGTAATCAACGTACGATTAATCATAGGTTGAATTTGCCGTATAATGAATACATAATTAAAGCTGTAATTAGTGATTATATTCAGAAAAAGGAGATTTGTGGTCCTGCGGTTACAAGTGAGACTTTTGACCTAGTTTTAGGGTACCATGGACTAATTTTGGGACCAGTAAACATAATTCGTACATAAGAACAAAACAAGAGTTTTGATTCAAAGAAAGAAACAAAAGAAAAAGAACATATATTAAAAGGCAGGTAATGAGGGAAATAAATGAGCAGTTAGCACAGAAAAGAATTAAGAGGCTTTTGGTGAAATGATTGTTTGGATTAGGTTTATTTATTTTATAATATAAGGTTTAATGACGGTTATGATTATGTCTTGTACTTTACTTCTTCTTTAAAATCTAATACAACCTGAACCTGGGGGTGTGGGGGTGTGGGGGTGTGGGGGTGTGGGGGTGTGGGGATATAACTCTTTCTACTTTTTAAAAACAAAAAAAAGAGTTGGGTCGAATTGAATTGGTTAAGAACCTATATGAGTAATGGACTCTGGAGGATATATACAACACCTTGGGCTCAAAAGTGTTTTTAAGGTAAACTAATGGGGTAAGTGCTAACATGTCGTGAAGGCCCATTTTGTGTTGGCACGTCACAGATAAAGGTAACATTCATGCGGCTCTGTAGCCCATCAGAATACATACACTGGTTAATTTCAAGCCTCGCATTCTCTTCTGAATCAAGTTTTTGTGTTCAATTCTCTTGAGGGATTATTTCTTTTGATCAAACCCGAGTTTTTGAGGAAGTTATTACATATAAATCAGACTGGTTACTTTTCAATGATGGATCTGAAATTATTTCCAAACAGTACTCCTCAACAAACCTCTTACAAAGACACAAACTACAGCATATATATAAAAGACATATGCTTAGACCATCCTCAATGCTGATCCTTAAGTTGATCCTTAAGCTAATTTTGATTAAAATTTAATACATAATTCAACAAAATTTATAAGGTACGTACCTTATATAAGGTCAAAAATTGGAAGTAAAGACATAAGATCCACTTTTAAGGATTATGCATTGAGGATGCTCTTAGATGTGGTTTTAATTGGTATACTGTTAAACATTGCTCGTTACAGTTGGATCAACTTTAAATCCATCTTTTAATAGAAAAACTTCTGAATCGAAGAAACTTATGCTCCACATATTTGTTGCAATAACTCCAATATTTTAAACCTCCTCTGATTTCATTTGCAACTTCAAGGAGAAATCGAGTTATTTTACAAATAAACAATGTAGCAGCTTCTGACAACGAGGAAAGTTCCAATGGTGCACCCTCTCAGCGTGCATTGCAACCCCCTTTTTATTATTTATGGGTTCATTTTGAACTTATCTGAACACCTTACTACTAATGCATACACTCTCAGCTAAAAACTATACAAAATCAAATCAGCTTTCCCTATAAAATAAAAAGGAAAACTCAAAAGAACTCGGGTGAATAAAACAATTTACTGATAACGCATGTGGTAGCAATTATATCACTCTGCCACTCCCACACTATTTGATGCCCACCAGCTATGATTTTTACTATACTTAACACAATGTTACATTTACTGGTCAAAAAGCCTAATTTGAGAAGAAGAATAACACATTAGATTCACCATATATAATTACTAATGATGACCATCATTTTAACCCACTCTACTAGTAATTCTTAACCTAATCATGAGTTCAATGATATAAAAATATGTAATCTCAAACATATTAGCTTCAAAACCCTAAGGATTACACTAAAAAATAAGTCAATAATATAAGATGGGATTTTATGATTATCAGGTTGATGATTAATTAACCTAATCTCAGCTCCCTATTATATTTAAAAGTTAGAAGTACTAAAAACAAACATTATTTCTTAAGTTAAAAATTACAAATTCAAGATTCTAAAACTTTGTAAATGACCACGAAGCAAGGTAATATAGCTCTCGGGTTATAAACCACAAGCTCCTCCAGGTTCGAATATACCCCAGCGTTGACCGCCACCGAGTCAAACACACCTCCGCTCGACGCAACTCCAACCGCCGAACCATCCTCCACCGGAGATTTCTTCTCCGCCGTAGCATGAGCCTCCCCCGCCGGTAAATCAACGCGTTTAACTCTCCCAGCGATCACACGGCACACAAGCATCACTCTCCTCGCGTCATCGCTACACCTCAGCAAATCATCAGCTCTTCCGCTGCTCGCCGTCGTCCTCACGCCGCCAGCGTTAGCGGTTGCTGCGGCGGCGGCTCCTTTTCCTTGGAAACCATGGCGGATCACGGTGCATACGCCACAGCCAGGGAGGTTAGAGCAGAGAGAAGAGGAGCCACGAGCTCCGAGAGAGCAAGTGAGAGTGGTGCAGTGGAAACGCAGAAGCTCGTTACCGTCGGCGGCACAACGAGCGTCTTTTCTGGTGGTTTGAAGAGCACGCGCCTTCACCGCGTCTCGGCAGTCTTCAAACCGTTGGATCGTACGCTGAGTGTTGTGGACTTTTAATATCCGTTCGATCTGACAGATGGGGCTGTCCTTTTTAAGCCAGCTTGATTTGAATATGATCTCCACTATGTTTCGACCCGAATCTTCCGGGCCTAACTCCGAAACTGCGATTAAAACGGCAGCGTTTTTTACTCATCAAATCAGGGAACTATTATTACACAAGTCAAAACAAAAATCTGAGTTTTGGTTTGGAGACATTAAAGACAGAGTTGTAATTCTGATACTGTCGAATGATATAAAGACACGTAATAATACCAGGGGGACAATGAATTTAGTTAAGAGCAGAGAAGACAGCTGTTTCTTTTTATAGTACAAAATTTGGTCCCATGGCAAGCATGATAAGTGTTTTCCAAAGCAAAACGACATATACGGATACCATAGAATATATTGTTTCTCCAGCTTTATATATTCCTATTCTCTTTTTGTAATCTTCTCTAAAAACACGTATTGATTTCTATCCCGAAAACAATCTGCAACATAAGGCCAAATCATCCTAACTTATTTGATCGATATCACCGACAATAACATTGAGATCTTGATTCCATTAAAATAGATCAAATAGTAGTTAAGCTACAAAATGTAAGCATGTTCGTTTGCTTAACATTATGGTAAATCTATCGATAAATCCAAGTGCTAATTCACCGCAAAACATGTGTTAGTGGCTTAGTGCTAATAATTCAATCAAACAAGTTAAGGTTATAATTATAGCATCAATCACTAGTCAAATCATGGACTAAGATCTCATTTCTCCAAGCGGCTACAGAACATAATCTTTACTTACCAAGCAAATTGCAGTTTTGTATTTAAGGAAATCTCAACTAGATAGTATTATAGTATAGGGGTTAACTTGAAAAAAATATGACTACTCAGTCTCACACCAAAAGACAAAAAGCTAGAGCGTAATTAAATATTTTGAGCTAAAATGATAAAGTTAAATACTAGTAAATTATAAAAACAGAAAATAGTAAAAAGTAAAACCCTTTACCTGCGTGACGAACAGCTTGATGAAGTTCTAAGCTTTCAAGCTTGGGAAAAACTTCTCCACATTGGGAACAAGCACAAACCCTAGGCGTAATCGGATACCTATATTTTTAATAAACAAAAACAAATGAACTTACTGAAACATAAGATTACAACAACTAAGTTTGTTTGCTCATCATTAATTTGTGTAGCCATTTACCTGCTAGGGTCAACGATCATGTGACATTCGTAACATCCGGAGAGTTTACGGAACTGCATGGCTCTAAACGAAGTCGTTGACGATGACGTGTAACTCCCGCTGGCGTTAGATCTCGTTGAGGCAGATGTAAGAGACCGAGACGAAGAAGAACCGTGTTGACCAGGTTTCCGAGTCAGAAGCCGAGTCTCCGAGTCAGGAGCAGTACTTGAGTTAGCTACGTCTGGAGAGTGGTCTGCTCTATGAACCACACGAGTGTTGCCGTGAGCCACGTCTCTGAAGCTACATATGGAGCTGCACGAGGAGCCGAGCTTGGAAGGAGATAAGTTAGTAGTTATGGACGGGCCAGGCTGGTTAGAGTTCTTGGAAGGATCATGGACTCTTGACCCTTCGATTTGCTTGCAAGTCAACAGGTTCTTGATTTGGTCCCACGAAGAAGGCTGCTTCGGAAGTACTGCTTTCTTCGGTTTCTGCGGTTTGTGAGGTTTCTGTTTCTGAGGTTGAGTTTGGTCGGTGGGATTCTCGCGTTTCTTGCGTTTGGTCGACGGTGGGTTGTGTTTTTGAGGAGGCTCTGCGTTTTCCGGCAAGAAAGTTAGTAAAGCCATTGTAAGTAGAAAGAAAGAAAGAAAGAAAGAAAAACTCTTGAGAGAATGTGAGAGTTTCTTTATTTGTGCTCTTCTTTATGCTTCTTTCTTTAATTATAAGCTTTTTTTTTCTGTTTAGGTGTTGAAATCGAAGATGGATCCAAGATGGGTAAATAAGGAGGGAAGGAAGATTAAAGTAGTGGGCTCTATATCTTTCTTTAACTCTTTTATTTTACAGTTTTACTGTCTTACCCTTTCTTCTCAATTCGAATTTTAATTTACTAAAGATTATAATTAAAAAAAAATAGGGTACTTAAATTAACTATATTCAGATATCTAGTTAATTTTGTCAGAGAAATTAAAAATCTATGTAATTAATTTTGGCATCTGGTTGCTTTGTTAGTTGTATAGGCTTGCAGTGCAGTTAATTTTGTATATATTATTTCCTCAAAAGAAAAAAACAGTGTTTAGTATGCAATGGAATTTTGAAATAGTGAGTTATTTTTCTGGTGATAAGAAATTAGTTAGAAATTAAATTTGTTTGGACGAGTTTGGTTGGCTTTTTGTAAAATAGGTGCTTTAACTGCATGCATCTATCTATCTGTATAATCTGCAATTAAACAGTTTGACCTACTTAAGGGGCTGACTTTGTAGTTAACGTCACTGAAGCTTCCATTGGTAAGCGACGCATACATATATGCCACGTAAGAAAAACTAGAAAAGCATCTCTCTACTCTTTATTTTACTATATAGATTTGTTTGAAATCGCTTTCTTATTAGACGCTACTACATAAAAACAATTGGCTATGAAGTATATATAGTTTAAATACTTAATCTGTGTTCATTAATCTAAAAAATAATTGTTTTGGATGTATGGTCAAGACAATAGTTTAAAACAGAAACTAGGATTACACGTTAAACAGGAGACAAGGTCTTTGGAAACTTCGTATTTGGAACTGTGATTACGGATTCCAAATGTTCTATTTGTCTCGAGTTGAATTTTTCAATGCCTTTTTTCGCTATTACTAGTTTCTTATAAATAAACTAAACTATGCTGTATTTTTTTTGTTTTATTCATTTTCTGTAGTATGTATGATGTTTTGGTACAAATGTGAAGTATTTGAGATTTATGCAATGCGTTCCTTTGTTATTTGTACGATATTGATACTGTTGGATAAGACTGGTAGACTGTTACTTTCTCAAAGTATTAAGTTTGCTAGGGGATGTCATAAACTAATCTCAGTAGAGTAAAAAGTGGTGGAGTTAGCACTACTTGAAGTTTGTGTAAATAGGTATGGGGGTGGTGAGTTCATTTATTAATAAATACTGATTATCATAAAAAGGTTTAATGCACTAAATAAATAAATAATTTATTGTATAATAAATGGTAAAAATTTGAGAAATCCACAACACATTGTCTCTATATTAAGGTTGTGGTATTAAACACACACAATCGCACACAATACATAAATATGAGTAATCATAGTATTAAACCAGTCATCAATATAAGTAACGTAAAGTAAATTAATCATAATCAAGGTGAAAACTGAAGCAATCATAATATACATAGTTTTTTAAGGTTGAGTCAACCTGGTTGACCATTGACCGGATGTAAAAATCTATACTATTAAGATTAAAAGTCCTTCACATTCGCCGCAATACTTGGATTTTTATCACGCAGATAGCTTTGGCCTTCTCATTTGTCGTGTTTCCACATTTGTCCCTCTCTTTTGTTTTTGTTTTTCACTCTTATAAACTTGGTTTAACAAAGCATTCATAGGTCATTATTCTAAGCTCTTCGTTTCAAAATTGTGTTTTTTGCAATTTTTTATAGGTTTCATTGAGAGACAAAGGAAGAAAATGAGCGCGAGATGTTTGAGAATGGTGTTGGATATATTGATTCTTAAAACGAGTTTGAATTTCAAAAACGAAAACGAAAAAGTTTTTAAAGTTTTTAAAGTTTTTACGTACGTAACGTTTTAAATACTAATTGTTATAGTCCGGTGACAATGGAATTTATTCGACTGACAGAAAAATTTAATCATCTGCTTGCATAGTATAGTAGTAAATATTAAAAATAAAAAGTCTCTCTACTGCAAAACGTGGCTGGTTAGTATTGGTTTGTGATTAATAAATGTTTACTCATTTATAACTTCCAAAAAAAAAATCGATACTATAAAAGTTTTATATTAGTAATTTACCCATCTTGTATCTGCAGTAAAGAGAAACCTTCCAATTCCCAAGTTGTATAAATTCAAGTGCTTTGAATATGACATTAAATATTGAGCCACGAATGCTTGTAGATTTTTAAAACACCGACAGAGAGAGAGATTGATAGAGTCATAGAGAGCTTCGTTGTAGTTGATCAACGTACACGATATTTTGAATATAATACAATTACAGTGTGAATTATGAATCTTTTCATGAAAATTTTGTAAGAGTTTAGTTCTGTGAAAAACACAAGAAGAATGGAGTATATCTCTCTAGATACAAAATGGTGTGTTACTCTTTAGTAATGTGTTATTATTCGTTTACCACCATGTACATGTTATAAAGTGCACGTGTGATTTAGGGTATAAAATTGCTTTGACAAAATGGTTTAAAATATATGAAAACCTTAACTGGAGACAATTTGTGTCCCCATTTCATGTAATCATAATTATGTGAGGAATCAAAACAAGCCCCGCAGCTGATCCCCTCACGTACTGATTGTAGTTAGATTATGCTATTACATCTCCCACCCAAAAATATTGAAAACTTAAACGTTCATAATATGAACTTCATATCATTAGTATCAAATAATTTATCCTTTGTCTTTTATAAAATAAAGGAAAAAGAAATTATTATAAGAAAGCTAAAAATATATAGTTAGTACACTTTTTAAAAAAAAACTTAAAAGTTTTCGTCGTATTTATACATTTGGATATAGTATGTAAAAAAAGTTTGTTATTACATTTTGCTAAAACAGATTGTTTGTATTCATTACTGTTTTGCAGCATCACCTTGAAAGTACTTTACTGTATCATGCTCCATCTCATAAAGCAAAACTTCTACTGTAAAAGTTTGACAGTAAAACAACTATTAGTCATATGCTTAAAGAAGTGTCACGAAATTTAGTGTGAACTACATTGTGATATACAGTATTATACGAAAAGCATTGAGGTCTATTTTAATACTAGAAAACTTGTAACAACTGCAATGTATTTCTTTCCACACACTCATTCTGTAAACAAATAACTTGTAGAAAAATTAGATGCGTGAAAACGAGCGTTGGTTTTGGTCTTTACTACCTAAATTTGTATTATTGTTTGTTGTGTTGCCTCTTTATAGTTAGAAGTAGAGTCCAAATTAGGATGTCGCATCAGGGATATGTCTTGATGATGAGAATGAAACAAAGTGGTGAAAGAAATAAGAAGAAGATGAGTTTTTTCTTTGCTGACACTACTCTTTAGTTTCACACTGGATGATCATATAAACAACAAGCTAAGCTTCATATCAATAAATGCAAGTAGATAGATGTACAACAACTATCATTCAAAAATGGTCCCTAATATTTTTTAATAGTGGATTCATCAATCATTCGGTTTCATATCCTTTCTTCAATTATTGGTCTTCTACACACAACTCATTATGAATCTCTGTATTCGTTTTTACACGTATTATCCGGTCAATTTGGTTATTTTGTACGTAAGTGTAAAATATTCATGTGATGATATAACATATTACACTATGGAAAATGATGCTATAACATTTAACACTATAAAAAATGATGATATGTTGTCACACAACTCGTAGCCGTGTGTGGTCCTATATATGGTTATGTATTATTTTTATGTATAACCCCTTTCGTTTTATAAATTACTTTGCAGAGTCTTCTTCTTTATTATTTTTTTCTTCTTTTTGAGTAACAAAATGTGACCAACTCAGACCAAGTATATATAGTTTCTTTGAATTTTAAAATAAAGTATGCGGATGAAACCATTTCGCTACCCGTCCCATTTAACCTCCTGATCCACAACGGACTGAGATATTTTGTGGGTTCCGGCCCGCTAGATTAAAGAGAATGGAGACATGTACTTGGTAAGTGATTGGACCACCATCAAAGGCGTGTGAAGCATTTGGGTTTATGTACATGTACTTATGCCACATTATAAATACTTCAATTGATTACAAAGTACAACTTTATTTATTTTCCGAAGCAATTTACATTTGAGATATGAATTTAACACTAATACATATGTATGATACAGTAAAGAAAGGAAGAAGATGATTCATAGTTAGTACTTCAACAAGTCAGTCTTAGCTGTTATTCTATTGGATGAGTCGCCTCTACCTCACTTAGTGGCCTCAACTTCTTTCACCTGAAGAATTGGTTTATCAACTTCAGGTGTTGTTGTCTGTTTCTTTTCCTATTAGCAAATTAGAAAAAGTAGACCTTTTAATGAACTTTAAACTCACATGTGTTTAAAATGAGTCAGAGAAGAGTAGAACAAGATCATGCATGCGTGGAGTCACCAGTAACAATCATTATTCGTATTATTATATATGCGTAGAGAGAGAGAGAGAGAGGTGAAATGAATTCACTAATTTACCTGAGAGTGAGATTTTGGTGTAGAGTGTTCTGTAATGTAGTGCAAGATCTCGAAGAATCTAGTCTGTCCATGGCTAATTGCCTTTTGGAGATATATCATTGCAATATCACCAGCTCTAGTTCGTACCTCAACCAAGCTGCGGTCAATTTCATTTTCATGCTTTGAGATGTATGGCCTGAAGAAAGAATCGTACACATACGTAGTTCCCTGAAATGGTAAACACAGAGGATATCAAATTAGAGAGAAAGCCACTATATAATTTATATCTCTCTATCTCAATGTTTTTCCTTACTTTGGTCTTCGGGAACCAGAGATAAATGAAGAATGCCAACTTTGCCTCGCTATACATTGGTAACCTTCACAATGAAAACATAAATACACAACATTGAAACTCTTTGTTTCTTACTAACTAATATACCTAAAACCAATAACAACATACCAGGAAACAAGAGCATCACAAACTCGTTCGAGAATCGTTAAAGCAGCTACAATAATCCTGCAAAGAGGTTGTAAGAGAAGGAAGCCAAAGAAAGATTTAGGGACCTAAAAGGAGGGTAGAGAGATGAAGAAAAGAACAAAACGAGAAGATGGTCATAAATACCAATATTGGCACCAGAACTGAAGTTGTTCAATCTCAGGCTTGTTGAGTTCAACCGTTTTGTAGCACTCATAAGCAGGATACGCATATCCAAACACCATTCTGTCAAATAATAGAAATATTCATACAACTAACTTTTTCTATCGGAAAAAAAGAAGAGATCAAAGTCATATAGAGTTTACATACAGAAGCCCTCTTGTCAGAAACGATCCAATCATTGTGATCAAACCTGAACATAAACATACATAAGAAAACAAACGAATCTGCCTAATCAGAATTATATATTGTCAACCACTTGAAGTTTGTATGATATGATGAAGTATATATATCCGAATGCAACAACGATTATTGAACTATATATAAACATACCTAATGAATGAGACGACGGTTAGGGATAGTGACTTGTGGGAAAGGAGAAGCAAAGGATGTAGGAAAGGAGAAGAAGCAAAACGGTAATGATCGTATCGGAATCGGATAGTGACTTGCGAATCCTTTTTTCTCCTACCAAATTTATAGATATGTTTGTGTTTTGTTCTCTGCCTTGTCACTTTTAACTTGAAACAGTGCGTTGCGGGCTCCAGATGATACATATCATCGACTTTAAGTTTTATCAGCCGTTGGATTTTTATTTGACGGTTACGATCTCGTAGTCTTTTCGAAAGTAGATAAATAAATAAATACTAAATTGGAAAAAAAGAAAATTTCCTTTTTACTGAAATCGGAGAAAGCCACGTGAGCAAATCTTAGCCGCTAGTGGATTATTCAACTAATGGCTGAGATTGACCCAAAACCACTGGTTCTTCTTCTTCCTCCTCCTCTCATCTTCGCGCGCTTGAGCCATTGTTCTCCATAGCTTTTTACACGAGCAAAGACAAGTATATCGAAATGCCAGTTTCAGCTCCATCTCCGCCTCGTCTTCACTCTCCTTTCATCCACCGTCCCATCAATTTCACTCCGTCTTCTTTCTCCGCCAAGAATCTCCGGTCGCCGTCAACATCTTCTTATCCCCGAATCAAAGCTGAACTCGATCCAAACACGGTATTTGATTCTCATCTCTCTCTTTTCTCTATTTTCTGACAACTTCAATTTGATTATCAGTTTTGCTTTCGTAATATATAGGTAGTCGCGATATCTGTGGGCGTAGCAAGCGTCGCGTTAGGAATCGGAATCCCCGTGTTCTACGAGAATCAAATCGACAATGCAGTGAGTCTTCAGTAAGACTTTAATCGATTTTGAATGCTATATATTGGTGTGAATTGTAGTTTAACATTGTTTCGTTTTATACACAACTTTCATAGGCTAAGCGAGAGAACACTCAACCTTGTTTCCCTTGCAATGGAACTGGAGCTCGTATGTTAATTGCTTCTCTTACTCTTTCTTATACTGTCAAGTTGTTTTTGTTTATCATTTTGGTGGGAACTATATAAGAAGAGCAAACTGATTGATGTGCTGTTTAATATGAACAATGCCATCTGAAGAGATATAATTTATTTTATGGAGCAGAGAAATGTAGATTGTGTGTGGGAAGTGGTAGTGTGACCGTAGAGCTTGGTGGAGGAGAGAAAGAAGTCTCCAACTGCATCAACTGTGATGGTGCTGGTGCCTTAACTTGTACCACTTGTCAAGGTTCTGGTGTTCAACCTCGATACCTTGATCGAAGGTATTACACTTAATAAATTCAGAGCTACTCTGTTTTCTTTTGTTGCTCCATTGTTAGTAGAGATACTCACACTTTTATACTCTTCTATTGTCGTATGGTCAGGGAGTTCAAGGACGATGACTAAATGTCTTGCACTAGAGAGAACAGGTCTCTTTTTCTTCCCTTCTCACATTTCTTCATTGTGTGTCTACATTGTACAATACTGTTTTGTTCACCAAACATGTGAGAGAAGTACAATACTGTTTTGTTCACCAAACATGTGAGAGAAATCATAACATGGATATTGTATCAAAGAGATCAATCAAATGTTTCTTCTGTTGTAATTAAGTAACATGACAGATTGACTGAACAACTCCTGAACTATCTATCATCAATCTATTGCTTTACTTGCAAGAACAATGAGCTTAGCTACTTATAGTTTGAAGTCAACCTACCAGTGCAACTGAAGGAGAAAGTTTCCTGCATTTGCCCTGTAACCATGTCAACCGTAACTTGTTACCTTAGAGATAGGAAAGTCTCTCTAAAAACAGGGCTCTCAAAAAGGTCTAAAGCTGCAAAGTAGACGCCTTCATCCACGTCCTCTATCTCGTCAAGCACATTAATACAGTTTGTAATACTGAATCTGTCCTCATGGGTTTCGGAATCAGCCATCCTTGACCTGAAAGCAGTTACCATGTCCCACAAAGCACCTGTCATTTTTTCCAATGCTGCTTGATCAATATGGCTCCGTTGAACTACACTTGGTGTTGGTAAATTCTCTGAGGATCGATTTGCCATGGTTTCTTCCAACACCTCAAAGTGACTTGACTGAGCATATCTCCACCATCTACGAAATATTAATCATCACCAAATATAGTGCAAAGCTGCTCATAAATGGGGCAGTCCTAAATTTAAGTTGGTTCACTCCGATCCTAACTGTACCTGTGATCTATGTGTGAGAAAAACCAGTCTTTCCTTCAATAAAACACAATGCTTGAACCTAGAGAGAATAAAATTACACAGGAATCTTCTTCCCACAAATCAAACCCCAAGACACATCTTGTATCTTCTTCGACAACAAAAGCGTTTTGAACATGGGATGATTTAAGGGTATTTTAACGTTGTCTCAGAACGTCAAGATGTTTCTCAACTAAGTATTGTCAAAGTTAAGCCCCGTCTGCTCGTTGAACTCATGGCGTATGTAATTCCAAGTCTTTCTATCGAAGACGTTATCATGTCTGTTTCCTGATTGCATCTGTTTAACCACCAAGTCAGCTTTTGTCAAGAAACGGAGTCCATCATCTCTTTCTCGAACGATCTTGCTTTGGTAGTTGTTCATTAGCTATCATCATCTGTGATTCAGAGACTAAATAAATAATACGACATCAGCCATACTAATCACAAGATAAACACAAGACAAAGACTTTAAACCTAACACAGTTACACTCATCAAAATGACGTTAACACATTACCAGTTACTTTATAGTGCAAAACAAAATAAAAAAGATCTTAGCGCAATTTCTTATTTCAGCTCAAATCTGAAGAGAAAAAAACGCAAGTGTGGAACTTTTTAATAGCTTGTTAATATTAGACTAACCTAGAGGAAAATCCGGATTTAGGCGTTCTCCGGAGTTGGCGCGCTAACGGGCTAGTTAAAATACTTGGTAAAGCCCAGGCCCAATAATCTCAAATTTTCCTCTTTTGTCTTCATTAGCTACAAATGGGAAAAATTAATGAAACACCACTAGCCCCCACTTGGTCCTATTCAACTTGTTACTACCATATATTTAAAAAATCATTCATATAAGATTTTAGATACCTAATTTTTTCTAAACAGAAAATTTTGCCTACTAATTTTATTATATTTTAAATGTTACAAGCAAATAAATGTGGACAAGTATATAGCGACCGACAATTGTGACAGTGACATTGACTACAGTTGGACTCGGCTTATTCGCTTCCTCTAAAGCAAAATGGGGTAAAGCCGTAAACTAATCACATTATACATTAATAATGATAATATAACCTTGATTAATGTATGAAAACAAGAATCATTTTTAAAAATTAATTAAAGGGAAGATCTTAAAGAGGCAAGGAAAAATAAGATAAACAGATCTGAAATCCCGCTTGATACTCCACCGACTTTAAACAACTTAACTAAAGAGAGAGAGATTTGTGAGTTTTAAGTGTGTCAGTGACTCCTCTCTCCACCTTCCTTTTGCTCCATCTTCATCAAACCTACACTACTACACACTGTTTCTATTAGATCTACGGGGAAGCTAGTTTAATCGGTGAATGCAGTTGCATTGACCTCGGATCTAGTCAAATCTCTTGTTGAATTCCGATAAGAATGGGAGAGAAATCGAAGTCTAGAGGTTGGTGTGGTTGGCTTATCGCCATTATTGTGTTAGCTTCTGTTGTGCTCGCCGTCGTTTACACCGTCAAATCTAGAATGAAGAAATCCGGTGACGATGAAGGAGCTGGTCCTGTTCCTGGTCCTCCCGGCGCCATTGATAAGAAATACGCCGACGCTCTCAAGATGGCTTTGCAGTTCTTCGATATCCAGAAATGTAATCCTTCCTTTTACTTCATAATCGTGTTTCCAATTCCAGATTCATCACTTTAACTTTCCTCACAAGTTATTGATTGGTATTTTTAGTAGCTCTAATGATATGATTTTTTTGGTGCATGTTTTTGACTGTAGCTGGTAAATTGGTGAACAATAAGATCTCTTGGAGAGGAGATTCAGGTCTTAAAGATGGAAGTGAAGCGGATCTTGATCTTTCCAAAGGATTATATGATGCTGGAGATCATATTAAGTTTGGTTTCCCAATGGCTTTCACTGCCACGGTGTTGTCATGGTCGATTCTTGAGTATGGTGATCAAATGGATGCTGTGAACTCATTAGATCCTGCTAAGGACTCGCTGAGGTGGACTACGGACTATCTCATCAAAGCTCATCCTTCTGATAATGTGCTCTATATCCAGGTTTGGACTTTTATCTATTTATGTTACTGTAGCTCAGAGGATGTAACTTGTGGAAGCAATGATTCTCACTTGTTAGTATTGTGATGTGTAGGTGGGAGATCCAAAAGTAGATCATCCTTGCTGGGAGAGACCAGAGGACATGAAAGAGAAGAGACCACTCACTAAAATTGATGCAGACACTCCTGGGACAGAGGTTGCTGCGGAAACTGCTGCAGCTATGGCTTCAGCGTCTCTGGTGTTTAAGGATAGTGACCCTCAATATTCAGCCACGCTTCTGAAGCATGCGAAGCAGTTGTTTGATTTCGCAGACACTAAACGAGGCTCGTACAGTGTTAACATACCTGAGGTTCAGAAGTTTTACAATTCCACGGGATATGGGGACGAGTTATTATGGGCTGCTAGTTGGTTGTACCACGCAACAGAGGACAAAACTTACCTTGACTATGTGTCTAAACATGGAAATGAATTTGCTAGTTTTGGAAATCCAACTTGGTTTAGTTGGGACAACAAGCTTGCAGGAACACAGGTTAGATTGGAAGAAGAAGAAGAAACTGTTGAAGCATTTCTGTATTTTTTTTTGGTTGCATAACATTTATGCTTCCTAATCATTGCAGGTACTGTTATCAAGATTACTCTTCTTTAAAAAGGATTTATCAGGAAGCAAGGGACTTGGAAGTTACAGGGATACAGCTAAATCTGTCATGTGTGGGCTTTTACCAAAGTCTCCAACAGCTACAGCTAGTAGAACAAATGGTAATAGCACTATATACTTGCATAGAACATAAAGTCTCTTTGACTAAGTTTCTTATAAAGCTTGGATCTTGTTCAATAGGTGGTCTTATATGGGTGAGTGAATGGAACTCGATGCAACAGTCCGTGTCCTCAGCATTCTTAGCTTCGCTTTTCAGTGATTACATGCTCACTTCCCGAATCCATAAAATATCTTGCGATGGGAAAATCTTCAAAGCAACAGAGCTCAGAGATTTCGCCAAATCACAGGTACCAAACAATGAAACAACATATGAAAAACTAAATATCAACTAAATCAAACAACTGAAAAAATAAGACTCACTGAGTTTATCTCTGCAGGCTGATTACATGCTAGGGAAGAATCCGCTAGGAACAAGCTTCGTGGTTGGTTATGGAGACAAATACCCACAATTTGTGCATCATAGAGGAGCTTCAATTCCCGCAGATGCAACCACAGGGTGTTTAGATGGGTTCAAATGGTTCAACTCAACGAAACCAAACCCAAACATAGCATATGGTGCACTCGTAGGTGGGCCTTTCTTGAACGAGACGTTCACTGACTCACGAGAGAACCCAATGCAGAACGAGCCAACCACTTACAACAATGCACTCCTCGTTGGTCTTTTGTCTAGTCTCGTCACTACCTCTTCTGCTTTACAGTCGTTGAAGTGAGAGCATTTTTTTTCTCTTTATTGCAATCACATTGCTTCATTTTTACGTGTATTTTTTTTTTTTTTTTAAATGTGTGTGTGTTTATTCACGCTGTGTATTGGTTGATATGTTGATGAGTGTTAAATAAACAGTTTTAGTTTTCTAATCAAAATATCAAAGCTACAAATACACAACATACATTAATTGATGGCATGCGACAATTTAACCCCAAAAAGAAGAACTCAATAATGCACACACTAATTAATACACCGGTTAGATTATTAAACCGGAATATTCGGGTTCAATCAAAGAACTGGGTATGGTTGGTTTATTGGGTTCTGAACTTAAACCCTTTGTTGTCGCGTGAGACAAAAACCCTAGTAGTCTCCTCAAGAAGACGAAGGCATCTTTTTCAGTTTATCGTTTTGTCCTCTGCTCCTGCTCAGAATTGCAAATCGCCGGTATTGTTACGGTGTACAGCTTCGTCTCTCTCAGGTTCGATTCGATTCTATATCCACCTCTGCTCGAGACTTCAATCATATCCTGTGTGTCAAATTCGATTTCCATCGAGCTTAACGTCTCATGAAGTCTTGTATTTTTTAGTTGCGTTGAGATATTCGTTTGAAACTTTGGATTTATGTTTAGTTTTAAGAAGCCCTAAGCTCATCATCTTAAAACCGAGCTCAATAGACCCGCCGCTCATTTTTTGATGGCCTTTATGAATTCTCAGAACTGAAGAAAACAAAATCAAGAGGAATAGGATCTTCAATGGAGGGGTTAAAGCTCTCAGAAGCGGAATTGATGGTTTACATTCATCCTTCGAAGAGCAGAAACGTTTTCCAAGCTATTTGTCGCGAGCTCAGTTCTCTTCTTTTCCAGTTCGTTCGTTTCCTTCTCATTTTTCACTATCTTCAAGTTTTCTTCTTTGACATCAAATATTTTGCTTTCTTAGGATGTGAATCTTAACTTTTACTACAATACATCACTGTTGTTGCTTTGCTAGTTGATTCATTACATGATGGAAATAACCAAATGCGTTACTTTGGGTGTTTAGCACATCTTTTAAGATGTTCCTTATATAGCTTTTTTTTTGTGCAAAGCTTTTTGTTTCTTAGTGAGATTAGTTTCATTCTTGATGACAATTAATAGCGCTTTATCGAATTGAGCTTTCTTGGTGCAATGTTTATTGGTGATCATTTGTTTTTTTTATGATTTGAGTATCACTCTTTGTTCTGAAGGTATACTGAAACCTTTGATGGTGTACTATTGGCTTATGATGCTACCGTGAAAAGCAAACAAGCTAAAATCCTTTCCGGACTTCATCCTTACTTTGGTGTGAGGGTTAACACTAGACTACTCCTATTTGACCCTAAGCCCAAGAGTCTTGTAGGTAAAGGATCTCATTTCAACTTTTTTCCATTCACCTCTGCAACTTTTTATTATTATATCGGTTCATTTGCTGCTTAGGCTCTTGTTAGTGATCTAATGTGTTTGAAGCAATAATGGTTCGTTAATTTCTTTTCTTTTTTTCCTGTGCAGAAGGGGAAATTGTGAAGATTTCTCCTGAGTCAATCCATGTTGTTGTTCTTGGTTTTTCTGCTGCAGTTGTAACAGACCTTGATATCCGTGAAGAATTCAAGTTTAGAGTGGTATGTATAACTGATTTACAAATCTTGAATGTACTTTTTTTCTTTCTCGAGAAACTTTTTAAAACAGATTATAAACTTTGCTCTGTTCAGAAAGATGGTGAAGGTTGTTTTGTGAGCAGATCGCATAAACGGCATGCACTAAAGCTTGGAACCATATTACGCCTTCAAGTCCAAAGGTATAAACTTTTAGTTTCTCTACTCTACTGATTTGTCAAATCAAACTTGTGATTTGAATCCTAGTTAATTGAATCGAAATGATTGTGCAGTTTTGATGAAGAGGTATTGCATATAGCTGGATCTCTACTTCCGGAAAACACAGGATGCGTTAAGTGGCTCGAAAAGCACTCTGAAGAAGTTTTGCCTACGGATAGGTTAGTTAGTTTATTATTATGCATCCCTTTACTTAATTCTCTCATCATCATCTTTGCTTAGAGAACTCTTTTGTATTTTCAGGGATCGAAAAAGGAGGAAACTCTCCTGAGGAAATATGAACATACCAAAACAAGAGAAGCTTAAAATGGAGAAGCAGCAATGCTCTAATTTTGTTGTATTGAATCCTATGATATTAACACTTTTTTTTTCATCAAACTTATGTCTTATTGTTTCTCTTCATTTATGAATCTGAATATTCGTTTTAATCATAATCAAAATGTTATGCAATCATTTGTGATGTCATTGTTAGTCATGCTTATAAGTTAGAACAAGCTCTTCTGTCTTCCTATTTTAAAGGAGCTAACGATTATGAGTCTATGATGCTTTGCCAGAAACGTTTTGCAGAGAGAAAATTTAAAGATCAAACCAGTAAAGAAGCAGATGTGTTGAAGTTTAACCGAATAAAACAATCGTTTAGAAACAAACAATCAATACAAAGCATCTGTATATAACTGATACACCAAATGTTAATAAATAAAAATGTTCAAAAGGGTATGAAAAAACTAATGTAACCTATAGTATCCCAGCTGCTCTTATTCCCATTAATAAAAGTCCAAGAGCCCCCAATTCTAATGATACAACAAACCGTTTATAACTGTATGAAACGAGTTCAACTACACCTGATGATTGATACGGTTAGGAGAGAATATTACCACTTTGCTTAGTATCGATGTCTAGGGATATTCCCGCCTTGATCATGATGGTGGCTTCCTCTTCCTCTTCCTCCTCTGCGGTCGCGGTCACCACCTTGTTGATGATGATGTTGACCACCATACCCTCGTGGCGAATTATGCTCGGAGCCACCTTGACCATGCCATTGTTGTTGATGTTGATTATGATGATTACCAGAATACCCTCCTCCTCTAGAGTTATGGTGACCTCCCCGTGATTGGCTCTGGTAAGGCTCTGATGGGAACCTCCCACTGGGTCCACGAGGTTGGTACCCTCCTCGACTTTGGTAAGGAGGCGGCTGAGCATAGCCTTGCACGCCAGGTGGAGCCACATAGCCACCATGTTGGTAAGGTATTGGTGGAACATACTGCGGAGGATTGTAGCCGTAACCAGGAGGATGCTGAGCATGTACATCTGTGGGAGTATGATATCCATGTCGGTCTGTTCCCATCTGTAAGCTGTTGGAGACAAGACGATGAGCTGCATCTCCCAGATGCCTCCCAGATACACTTCCAGGTGGGTTTTGCCTACAAAATTGAGGAAAAAAACAAATCACAAATTTGATATCCAGCACTATTAATTCAAACACATGCCCTCTTTTTTAATGGTTTGATGATTTTATTACCTCCCCTGATTATTATGCATCCCGTGATTATTATGCATCCCATGATTATTATGCATCGGTCTCCTTCCATTATCCTCGTGCCACAGAGCGGGTGGGGGTTTCAAGTCTCCTATGTCCACAATCTGAACAGACGAGAGAAAACAACCAACTTAAGCTACCAACACGATTTACCCATATAGGTCACACAAAATAAGTTTCTTCTTGAGCAATGATATGACGGTCACAGATCAATTACCTTCTTAGGGAAGATGACACCAGGAGGAGGCCTGGTTATGTGTTCATGTGCATCTGGAAGTCTGTAAATACAACATCTGAGAAGCAATAGAATTAAATCAGTATTGCATGTTTAATCAAATTTAATATTTGAATATTCTGAAAATTAGGTCCCTGATCTCACATGACTTGGTTGGTTAAGATGTCCTCCATACCCTCCATTGGGGACCTGAATACTGGCGGGTGAGTCTCCCCTGAACACGGAGTCAAGTAGCCATTCATTCCATCACTGCAAGTAATTGTAAGAATATCAGGAAACAGATTTGATATTTGTAGGCCTTATAGAGATATCCAACCAACCAAAGTACTTCATACTCATCCACCATAAAAACATATAAAAAAAGTTATGTTTTACAAACCTGAGCTCAGGTTTGATCTTAACCTTAAAGTCTACTCTCTCCCTGTAACTTAATTGCCGACAGTGGTTGTCAAGTGAAAAGATGAGTTCAGCCAGGCGATGAGACGTTGCTATAAAAAGCATATCACACATCCTGCTGTTTCTACGCTTTTCTTCATCCTGCAGATCAGAGAAAAACACTTTCAAATCGATCCTTTTGGAAGCACACATCTTGATGTGACGGAAATCATACTAAGAAATAAAGTATAGGGCCACATACCGTCAATGTAAATTCCACTTCGGAAACAGCTTCTAGTAGGCGCTTTTCATCAATGAAAGGCAGCTTAGCAATACCCTTTGATGAAAAAGTTAAGTGCGTTCAAAATATAGTGACAGTGTTTCCAAATACATAAGGAAGCGATCAAGAAAGACAGAGAGGCTACCTGCCACGAAAAACGCTTTCCATTCATGTCGACTTCAAAATCTAACAGAAACAATAGAAAGCAATGTAAATATAGTTTGTTACAACAGTTAACACTCCGAAAAAGATGGAATCTTTAGGGAAGGAAGCATTACCAGTTGGGTAAAAATCAATGATAGGAGAGTTGGGATCAGTCATCAAGGTCCTGTAGCGCTCTGGAAGTGCATGTGCACTGACCAAATGAAGTAATGATTATACATATAGCATAGAAAGGAAACAATAATATAGAAAAAGCATTGATACCCAAGGTAAATACCTTGCAGCTGGGAACACCCCAAGAAGTTGATTGAAAGGCTTAAAAGGAGTTCCTAGTTCAAACTTAATATCCAGCTCTCCCAAATCCTTCAGATCAGAAGCAAATGGTGCATAATGGTAAGGATAAAACCTGAAGCAGAAAAGTACAATTATATCAGGAGTGACAGCTAAAACCTCCTCTCAGTCAATAAAGACCTCCGAATCTAAAAAGCAAATATAGTGTCTACTTTAAAAATATAGATATACCATAGTAAACTCTATCAGACCAATCCTAAATACAAAATAACTATTAAAGCAAACCAAATCATCAACTTTTCTTTCAAATTACTCATGCGTTCTGTTTAAAAGGAAATTAGATAGAAAACAAAAGTCAACTCAACAAGCAAAAATTTAGGGCACTTACAAATGGAAAGCTTAAACATTAATAGAAATAGAACACATCAAAGAAAGCAATCCAAAAAGATCAGTAGGAGAAGTTGCTCGGGGAAAAAATATGAGGCTAGGAACTCACCACTGCCAGGAGCAAACACCTTCCATGTAGTAATGCATGACCCAACAAAGGCCTTCTGTGTACTTCAAAACCTGTAAAAAAGTACGATTCATAATTAGAAGAAACTCTCCAGGAGTAAAACCAAAACTTATTATATAACATTCTCAAACTTACAACATCCTTCCGCACTCTTTCCATTTCTTCTGGGGTTACTACTGAGAACTTCTCTTCATAATATCTTTCTCTCCATCCAGGTTCTCCTAGCTTCACCTATACAAATGGAAACTACTTTCAGAAATGAAGAGATATCCAAAGATTGAAAAACAAAGAAATTCCCAATATATATTGTCAATCTGATCATAATTCACTAGGAAGAACCTTATCCTCTTCAGTAGTATCTGAGTTGAACGCATCTGATTTCTCACGGATTAGCTCCTTGAGTTTTGTCTTTAGCTCTTCTTTGTTCTCATGTTCCTGAAATAAGTTAATAAATTAAAATAATTGTTCAATTCTATAAGGTCATCCACTCTCAACTAGACAGTGAAGGATTTAAAATCTTATAAAGCATCTCCAGTACAAGAATACATACATCAGACTCAAGACTGTTCTCGACGTCAACAATAGCAGCACCAACACTTGATCCTGAAGATACGCGTCGAACTTTTTGATGCCGAGCAGACATTCCATCATTCGACTGAAATGGGGAAGGTGTAGGAGCAGAAGCAAGTCGAGAACCACTAAATCGTGCAACCGGAACAAGAGAATCTGGTTGAACTGTAGGAGCTGCATCATCCATTCTTCTTGTCTGAGCTTTATCTCGCTTTACTCTTTCCGCTTGCCTCTAATATAAACCAGAGCCAAAAGAACCATCAATACATCACTACAGAAAGATAAGTTCTATCCATATCTTATCGAAATACAAAAAAAATATGGATTCATCTATTTAAATGGAATAAGTTACAACATCACCACTTATCCAGCAGGTTTTATCTAGTCAAGGGTTTCCAAATTACCATAATGTATCACTTAATAATTAAATATACTAGCAAAGCAAACAAGATTCACGTACACTCTATGAAACTTGAAGATACACATAGATGCCAATATTTATACCATGAAAATTCACTTATATTAATTTTATAAGACTATGGTGATATATTAACATCTCTATAACTTCTAGTACTTAAAATTTATAACTTAAGATGGTTACAATTGAGTGGGAAAAGAACTTTCGTGCCAACATAAAGTCAGATATATTGATAGCAGATAAATAGCTATTCAGGTAATGTGCCTCACTACAAGGCCAAAAAGAAGTACACTTTCTTAGAAGTTTATGTACCTGATGCAGCCTGGCTCTTTTCTGAAATATCTTATCTTCGTACGATCCAACAGCCTGAATAAACTGTTCCACCCTCTTTAAATTTGGCTGGAGAGGGATAACAGCAAAAAATAAAAGTCAAAAATATGTCACCTAAGGGAAAATGGATTAGGAAATATTTGAGTAAACTAGTCTAATATCAACAGCGAACAGGTACCTTGCACCCATCAGTTAAATAGCCGTCAAGTGACCGAAATTCCTTCTTGTAAACAGCCATAAGCAAGTTGATAGCACCCTGGAGAAATGAAGATTTACAGAAACGTTTCATCAAACAAGAAATGGAGTTGACAAATGCCTTAGACATTAAACAGATTATTACCATTGAAGGTTCTTTAAACAAAAAAATCATAATTAAATCCATATCTAGGCAACACAAACCTCTCGAATCTCCAGTGTTGGCATATGTGGTAAGAAATCATTGCCCACAAAGAAACATATGAAGATAAAATCATCAACAATGCGCTCTAGATCAATCTCAAATGGCGGGTTGGGAATCCTCATCTCAAACTCCAGGTATTCTCTAAGAATCCAGATATGGAGGAACTGAAAAAAAAAACAAAGATTTGAGTGGACAATAATATCACATCTAAAAGGCTGTATCTCAAGAACCTGCTGATCATTTGTTATGAACTTGGTCATAAATTTCAACCTGATACGGCTTTTTGACAAAATCATTTCCGTCGCCTTTCTCATCAAATTCACCTGCCCTCTTCTTTGCCT